GTTCTTGGCGTTTGTTTACTTTCGTTGCATCAACAGTTTGATTTGATTTGTGTTGTTAATTTGCTATTATACCTAGGCGGAAGTGGCAAATTGTGCTATAGCGTTGTGTCAGAATTATACACGTTAATACGTTTTTTGGCGGAAAACACACTCTTACAACCAGATAAAATAACTATTTTTTTAATGAATTTATGTAGTTTTCATACATAACTGTGATGTAATTTTACATTTATTTTTCATTTTACTGCTATTTTACATTTAAATTGAAAAATTTCTCATTTTAAATCATTTTTTATCATAATCTTCATTTTGTGTATGAGACTTACATCGTAGTGAGATATTTAAACTCAGTGTCATGTTTACCAATACTGAGTACCTGAATGATTAGTTAATAAATTCGCGTATCCAACTTCATTCACATGTTTTGGTTACTTTCTTTACATCCCAAACGTAATTCTATGTATTGAAGCAGCGTCTGGGTTAAGCTTTGCGAACTAAGTAAACTGATACATGCCTCACCGTGAGGAAAGAACAATTTCTCGACCACACTATGATGCAAACATCGAATGAGTGAGTGACATATTTCCTTCAGTGTTATTTAACTGATGCATACAGGTATGTGTGATGTAATTTAATTGATATAACTTACACATGCTTGAACCTGAAGGAAAACAAATCTGTGTATAATGCTAGAATACAAATAGCGAAAGAGTAAGTAAGATATTCTGTTCAGTGTTATTTAACTGCTGCATATGTTTTAATTTTGATTCCATATAACTTGTTTTTAATTATAAGAGAAAGAAAAATAATTCAATATTGAACACATATTTCGAGTATAACAAAAGTATTTTAAGAAACAACCTGATAAAAATACATTAGTAATTAAAAATATTTAATTTGTGTACAGGCTGAATTGAAATTAAGATGTGGTGGTGTATTTAATTATGGCAAAGCACACTAGGGCTATCTGCGTAATAGGTGTGATGCCTTCGTGGAGGACTTTCTCAGGGAAACTGGCTCGTATACACGTTACACATGAGGAAAACCACGAAAACACCCATGCAGCCAGCCCGTTCGCGGGATTCGGACCGAACTACCAGTGTTCAGCGACTTTACCGCTCGGCCGCTGGTGGGCCGAAACTAAGATGTAGGGCAAGTTTATTATTATTATTATTGTGCGTATATGTGTAAGAAAATGTATTTTAATTGTTCCATTTTTAATGTATGGAAGGAAGAATAGGATGCAAATATCAAAGATTATTTATTATAGCAAATAATCACGTCAGGATAAATGTTATATAGAAATCTTGGGAGTGTAAGGGATTATAAGAGTACTTTTAGATTATACTGAAAAATATACGCACTTCTGCTAAAATCTGAAGTGAATCAGTATGAAGTGACTTTTCACTTTAAAAAGAATGTGATAAGTATACTATTTAAAAGTATAATGACGGATATTAAGAAATTTGTAGAATTTTATGGTATTTAAATATGAATTTGTTAAATCAAATCTTTTATATATATTTTTGCTTGAGATATGTAATTTAAACTGAAAATCACGATCATATATTTCTCATGGAATGTCAAAGTTCATTTGTATTAAAAAAAGTGCATGAGCAATGAAAATAAATAGAATAATACTTTTTGATTATGTTTTTACCATGGTCTTAGCAGTTATGCCATCATGTGTTCTGTTCAACAAGATTTATTTAGTGCAAACAATACTACGAAAAAATATTGAAAAATACCTTGTTTTACAATATTTATTTCCCTTAATTAACTTAAATATCGTTTTTCATTTTCTAATGCTTTCCTTTACGAAAAGAATTTAATGTTTACAATTATTTTCAGCATTCGTACGAATTCTGTGCATAAAATAAACATTTTCTTTAACAAAATACTTAATCGGAAAGTATATACCCGGTATTTCCGGTGTATCTACCACATATAAAATGATCATTTTGCTTTAGTTTACATTTTTTCCATTTTTTCTGCTAACTTAGTAATTAAGAACCTTGCCGGATTTGCGGATCTCTCCGCTTAATTAGGAGCTCGCGATTCGCGTATTTTAGAACGCGGTTAGGTTAGTTTAAGATCTCAGAGCCTCGTGGATAGTGATCTCGCTATTTATTCATCCAGTCATTATTTTTCATTTCTGCATTCTGTTTCAGTTAAACCGCCGGGTTGGCGTAGTGTGTGAGGGCCAAGTGGACGCAGCTGTTATTTTAAAAGTTGAATAAAAAGGGCTTTATATTCTTCTTACGTGTCTGTGTAAATTCACACTTCGTAGCAGTTACTACCACAGTTGCTGACAAGTTGGGGCCACGCAATATTACAACACAAACTTGAATATAATGAACTTTCTCGTGCTAACAGATTCAACCACAACTTGTGACGATGCAACTGAAGTAACAATCAAATTCAAATATAAAACATAAACTAGTAGTCAAAGACTACACAAGTCAATTTAAGTCTAAAAAACTTGTACCAATTCAAATGTCGACAGCAATAATGCAAAGCCGAATAATTAAAACTTATCACAGCTGACAGAAATTACGTAACGTGGCAACAAGGGGCAGAAACATGCTCTGTCTTACAGTCTCCAAACCTCAGATTAAATAATCTCTACATAATTCACATTCTGGGGAAAAAATGGAAAGGAGAAATTATAGTAAAGGCTGAAATTATAAATAACTAGTTGATTTAAATGATAAATCTTACAGCTTAATAAATTAAATTCTATATGTCGTGTAATTTATTCTTATACAATTTTTCTAGAGAATGTAAGTACAATTTTTGAGGCAAATAGCACTTTTAAATTTATAATTCCGTAGTACTGAATTGCGAAATTTTTTTAAATTTTTTGTATTTTTCCCTGCAGAGTGTAAAATACCTTACATTTCTGATGTAGGGGAACTGTTAAAAAACAGACAAAAGTTATACCATTCTACTCACCTCAGCCGTAGTGCCACAACGTGCACCCATAGAAATTGCAAACTGTAGACTTGTTTGTCCCGTGCCTACTACGAAGCACTGCGAAGGATTTCCTTTGGCATACACCCGGCCATGAAATGGGCTGTCGAAATGGATAGTGAGCAGCATATCTTGAGGATTACATTGGACAGAAACTATAAAAAATATAGATAATTGAGTTGAACTGTAAAGAGATGCACTGAATTTACTCGAGAAATGAAACAGCTTAACACATAAACTCGCCAATAAAAAAAGGAACTTATTCTGTAACCTTTTTTTGAAATTTATTTTATATTTAATTAAACAGCTAACTTATAATTTTCAGATGAATTAAAAACACTACATTATACTTTAATTTTTTTAACATTTTATGCTAGAAATCACTACTTTTCTATGAATTTTTAAAAATATTTATCAGAAACGGATTAACAAAAAAATTTTTTTGTGGTTATTGTGATGCTAGAGAATGTATAAATTAGAATCATTCAACGTCAATATATGCTGGTGTGCAAAATTTAAGAATGAAAAGAAGAAATTAAACGTAACAGCTGAATGAACACTAATCAGGCGATAGCTTAGGTTCCGCTATTAGAGTATACTTAATGTGCTCTGCATGACGAACTGTGGGCCTGTTGAAAGGCTACAGGGCATGTTCGTGATATACGTTGAGTGGAACTGTCAGCCAATCATTTACAGGATATCATATATTTATTTCATACTCATTTTAATTTTACTTGATCTCTTTGAAATTCTTTCTGATTTTATTTTAAGGTCATTTAAATAAGTCCTGTAACTTATGTAGGTAACCTTAATATGTTTTTTTCCATATCTCAAATAAACCACCAACCTACTCATTCAATACGAGATGAAAGCATGAACGACTAGTAGGGGGGCTAATCGTGCTTACAGAATTTAACATTTTAACATTAAAAGTAGGTTTCAAAACTACTTTCTCTATATCTCATTTTCCGCCAACATAATTAAATATCTCACTACACACGGCTTTGAGATCATCCTCTGTAAAAAAGGCGAAAATTGGCATAGGCTAAGATGTTGAACAAAGTAAAATGATGCGAAGAAGAAAAATATTTGTTCAAATTAATATTATTGTAAATATTTGTTAAATATTTTAATCCCTTTTATTGTATTTTTGATTTACTATATTGTTGTAATATTTTGTTATGTTTTACGTGTATATTTTACTTATTTATTGTTTTTATAATGGCAATTTTATGGTTTATTTTGTGTTTAATGTAATTTGTGGCCACATATCTTGCATTTGAGTATTTTTTTGTTGCATATAATTTATAGATCTTTTGATTCTGAGTGCAAATGTTTTGAAATTGTAAACATAACTCACTTAGGATTGGAGATATAGGCATTTTCGTTCCTAAGTGGCATTCGCGACAATTTTTGTTTCCAAGTTGGCGGTATTTGGCGATTTCTTGCCAACTTGGCCTCTGTCTGGAAGAATCGCGAAAGCAAATTTTTTGAAGCTGTATAACCTAATCTTACAGAAGTTCCCAGAGCCGATGCTGCAGTGTATAAATACGTGGCGGAGAGCTGGGGAGTTCAGTTATGAAACAGTTGCAAATTTGGCCGTATGACTTAACGGTTAGCTGAACTACGCGTTAGGGTTTATCCTCAGAATGATTTGAAGAATTTACAGAGTTTCCGCGTTCTTCTTGAGTTATTTCTAGCCATTCTTTGTGCTACTATTCGTTTTGCCAGTTTATTATTTGTACTACTATTAGTATTACTTTTTGTGCTACTATTTGTATTTGCCTATTTACTAATTGTGTTTCTTGTATACTATTTGTTTTGCCTATTTAAAATACTAAATTATTTATTTAGTCCTGCTTATTTGGAATTATTAATCAAAGAAACATCAATGATCTCGTTGCTCACAACAGCATCAGGGAATGACTGCTGCGTTATAACATCTGTCGTTTAATAAGACTAATGTAATGTTAGGAATACGGAGAGCATATTTAAGCAAGAGTTTTATGGGATCTGAAAAATAATAAAATAGATTGCTGTATAGCAGGGGTCTCAAACTCGTGTAACCTCGAAGCAATTTTATGCGGCACGAAAAAACATGCGTTCTGCAAATACAGCTTTGCAAAGGTTTTAAGATTTTAGTTATTTGAAGTCTGAGTTTACACCATTTTCATTACCTTTGAAAACCAAAATGAATAACTCGAAATTATAATGAAAATTTATAAATGGAGCTAATCAATTTACGTTGAGATGTAAATCTCATTAAAAGATTTGTTTTCCGCATTTATTAGGTTCGCGGTGAGAATAATCGCTTTGTCTGGGAATACATGTCAACAGCTCTTTTTTACCTCTGAGCATCTACAGTCCGCGATGAAAATATTTCCCAGCAATTTCTGTTTAACTTTATAAGAAGCGAAACTCCATCTAGTGTTTAGATGTAGTAAGAAATAAAGAAGCATATATATTTTTGTTTATGCGTCGTAAAATTAAATAAATAAGAGTGTGTGTGTGATTATGGCAAAGCCTCGAGGGCTATCTGCCTACGGGGAGGGATGCCTTCGTGGAGGACTTTCTAAGGGAAACTGGCTCGTATACACGTTACACATGGGGAAAACACGAAAAAACCATGCAGCCATTCGCGGGATTCAACCTCGGACCGAACTACCAGTGTTCAGCGATTTTACCGCTGAGCCGTGGGCCTAATAAAAGAAGAATAAAGAGAGTCAAGTTTTGTCCGTTTGAGAAATTTCTCGGGAAATTTAAAAATTCATAATTTTGTTATTTTAGTTTAAATTAAAATAAGTTATTTAATGATTAATTAGACATGTTAGAATTATTTGAAACACATATCAGTCTGTAAATATAATATTTAGCTGCAATTTGTTTTAATTAAAAGTGTAACGAACAAAATGTCTTTCAGGTACCAAACTTCATATTTCAGTTAGAAAATAAATATAAATTTGAATTTTTCCTTTGGATCCTATTATTATTGTTTGTGTATGTTTAGATAAATATTTCGTTCGAGGAATTTAAATTTATTTAGAATATTTTTATTTTGCTACAAAAATTTCATTCTAAAAATTACAATAACATATAATAAATAAATAAAAATAAAATTCTAGCTCACGTGCTATTGCCAGTTATGGCATTCAACCCGCTTGCCATCTGAGTTTGAGCCAGTGTTTTATAGAACAATAAATGTAAGAACCTTGCAGTTTGGAATAATAAAAAATATTTAAATTTACAACTGTTAACTAGAATTTTTTATGACCTTGCATTTCTAAAGCCTGGCTATTTGCCTTACATTAGATCGTAGAAAGTGTTATTACTCTTGTATTTATTACGACATCGCTTCATAATTATGAGAATTTACATTAAAAATCTCAACAATTTCAAATAAAGAAATCACTTAATAGTTTAAGTAAAACTACTAAGCTATTTTTGTAAAGAAATGCTGGCACTAATTAATAGTGAATGTTAAGAACCTGAATTATCTTTTCCTAAAGACAGTCAGAGACTAATAAATAAAATTGTCCATACCTTGTTCACAACTGCCTTTCTCGCTATAAAGTGAATTTCTTCGAACTTGAAGAGCGTTGATTCCTTGAGGAACGCTTGATATATCCTCACTGCTCAGAGCACAATCTTTAGCGACAGTTTCAAAATTCACAGACCGGCAAGTGAAATCCCGCTCAGTGTCGCATTGTCTTTGGCAGTCTTTTAGATTGAATGCTCTTGAAAGTCTGTCCAGTTGTGGAAGGAAGCGATCTGGGAAGTCTCGGTACTGACACGTGGGTGATTCTGTCAGGAGAATAGTCAATATCTTTAGACGCTCCTTATCATTTCAATCTGTTTTATTTAATTATAGTATTGAAAAAACTACAAGATGTAACTGAATACAGCAACAGCTTTATTTATCCAGTCTCCAAATGGCTCCAGTTAACTGAATCCCTTGTGCTTCTTTCTAAGCAAATAAAATTAAATTTTTTGCATATCCAAAATTCCAGTTAACTGAATCACTTGTGCTTCTTTCTAAGCCAAATATAATTAAATTTTTGTTAATCTATTTAATAGCTTTAAATCTTTTCGTTGATTTTCTTCTTTTTTAAAAATTTTAAATGTAAACTGTAAGAGCAAATACTTTTTAATATGTATTATATTCTTAATTTTAATAGCTATTATTTTGCATTCAGATTCTTAATTTAATTTTAATCGAATAGTAATAATTTTTTACTTTTAAAATAAAAAAAGTTGTTTAATTTCAGTCCAATAAAATTAAAAACAAGATTACGTGTTTAGTTGTAGTTCATGCTTATATCAAAATTATTTTCACTCCTTTGTTTTAGGGAAAAAGAAATTCATTGTGTCCTTAGTCAAATCAAGAATAATTTTTTGTTTGATTAGTGTTTCGTTTAATGGAAATAAATTTATTTCTTTCACTAGGCAATTTTTGTTTTGAGTAACTAATAATTCTTGATTTTCTCACTAATTTTACTTAACTACAGCAGTCACCGCTTGTCCAAAATAGTGATGAAATTGGAATTCAACTAATTTAATATAAATATAATTAGAAATATATCAATAGGTACTCGCACAGCATTTTAAGTAGGAAAATGCAAACGCAGTTTTAAGAGCTATTTATGGTACTTTTCCGTTTTGCCGGCGCAAGCGATAAAGTCGCCAATAATGGTAAACCGATGCCACGGAATTTCTCGCTGGTAACCTTTACGCGCATTTTCAACAAGTCCCAGCTTTATATCAGATTGATTGTTTCTTTCATACTGGATAAATTACATAGAAATTTTTATCGATAGTTCAGTTTTATGTCTAAGGCCTTTCGGTAATTAAGCAGTTAGGATGCCAATCACAGCGCTACCCGAGCCGAAAATAAGAAAAGGTAAAGTCAAGGGTTAAATTTCATCAATTCTAATGAGAATGCATTAGCGAAGTAGTAAACACTGCAGTTTTTACATAATTTCTGAGTAAGCTATTCGTACGATTGAAATATTTCTTACATTTAAACTTGTGTTCCAATTAAGATTTAACTTGAAATTAATGTAGATAATTACTAAGAGCATTAGATTTTTGTAGAGTAGTTTACGTGAGATGAGATCGCTTGGGTCACGTGATATGAACCGGCGAATCGGGATGTTGAACCATGAAAGCTAGCAAATTCTTAAATTAATGTCTTTTTACAAATTCATTGTCTTTATTTATTGGCTTTTTATAAAATTTTAAGCGATATTAAATGTTTATGCCTTCAAAAAAAGAATTCTTAGAACTAACATTTTTTTAAAATATTTTTTATGTGTATACTGTATGTTGTCGCCAATAAAGTCTGCTTGGCGAGATTTGCGCCGGCCAAACGGAAAAGTACCCTATTTATCATGTCTTTAACGCAAAAGTTCATTTATGAACCGCTCATGGAAATTATTCGACGTTTATGGAAATTATTCGACTGATTCTGAGCCCTAATCTTAATAGTCGAAGGGCATTCCTCTTTGGAGGGGAATTTGCGAATGTAAAACTAAAAATTAGAAAAAAATAATTTTAGTTTGGCAGGGATGTTTTCAGAGGGAGGGGAGAATTCTGCAGAAATTTGTTTGCTCCTAAGGAAAAGGAACCTGTGTCTGATCGCCCTCAAAATCGATATAGTTATTGGACATTTATGTCAAACTTAGGTGTGTTTTTTGCCTAATTTTAAGATGGTGCCTAAATTCAGAACCAAATTATTTGGAAACTTAATCCTTTTTTTCTCTGTCACTTAGCAATTTTAATATTCTATTTTGAACTTATTTGTCGAATTAACTTGACATTAAAAATTTATTCTAAAATGTTTTGATCACATAAACCGATATTTAGGTTACATTAAGCGGTGCATTTTTCATGTTTCTCGTACACAAGCGAGCGGGACTTTCGGCAATTAGATAATATTAATCTCGATCTAAGCGACGTCTACTGCAATATAAAGTATTTTTCTGTTAAGTTAATTAGCATAGATGTGTTTCAAATGTTATGGCAAACTAAGAATTATACTGCAAGTTTTGAAATGAGATAAAAAGAATAGAGTTTTGCTATCACATACCCGATGTGCATTGGTTTTCAAGATATTCTACTTCCTGAGCGGTAAAGTGGAATCGATTGGCGGCTGTTCGCTTAGTCTCGGTGTACAGACGACATGTCCTGTCATGGTAATGATAAACTGCTGACTTGCAAAGTGGTCGTTCTTGAAGGCATAAATCCTCACAATCTGTGCGTTCCAGGACTCCAGAAGCTTCTCGAATGGCATCTGTCTGCAACTCGTAGTGGAGATATCTCTCGAAACTCCAAAGTTTTTGACACGGCTGCTCTAAATCGTGATTTAAAAAAATAATAATAGACTATTATTCCATTAATAAACAATTACTTTTGCAAATTATAGAAGGAGTTTTTTCTGGTGTGCTTATCACGAATGTTTCTTTTAATGCAACGTTGAGGCTTTTGCTAAACATCCGAATTTTGTCCACGACCAAGTTCTACAGTTTTCCACAGACTCTAAACATATTACACTGAAACATACTGTGCTATTCTTAATATATTACACTAAAATTGGAATTAGCATAAAATTAATTAATTGCATTATTAAAATATCGAAGCATCACATAACGTAATAGAAGTTAATTCTTGTACTTGATCGAAGCGGAAAACAAAGTTCTTTTCTGTAGAAAAAAGTTTTTTAATGAGACTTAATAAAAATAAAAAAATTATCTGACAGTTTTTTATTTTTTCATCATTTACATAATTATTTTATTCTTCAAATTAATTATTTTCGGAAAAATCAGTATTTTTGATTTGAAAAGTTAATTTAATTTAAATTTTAATTTTCTTGAATTTTTTAAGATAAATTTAATCTAGAGAATAGTTGAGCAATGTGGGAGTCATTCAACATTAGAATCTATTTATTTAAAGTCTTCATAAATCAGTATTAATTTATTGCGGAATGTGTAATAGGTCTGTAAAAAGCATGCAAATTGGCATTAACATTTATTACGTTTACGGCAATAAGGAATAATTTTGTTCAGTTTTGTTGAAATAATAACAAGAACTGGAAGAGTCCATTTTTAACTTTTGCCAACAACAGCAAATATCCGTTACTAATATGTGGTACATGCGAAAACAGTAATTTTAATGCCAACACATTTAGTAAAACTTAGTTAACTAGTAGTTATATTTAAATTATAATGAAAAGTTATTTTAAAAATTTATATCTATTTAACTTTTTTTATATATATGCTTACATCAACGTCGACGAACACTGATTTTTTTTTTTTTACAAATAAATGCAGATATTCGCGAAACTAATCGATAATCTCTGTATTATATTCAAATAGCAACTTGCAGCCATTCAAAAAATTAATTTTCCTTTTACTTTTATTTAATGTGTATATTTACTCGAGTATTTCCATCTCTTTAGCCCAAGAGGGCTATTAAGTCTTGAAACACGGTTTTACGTTGTTTCACTTTTCATTCAAGTTTGCTGTTATTCAGAAAAACGTAAGATATTATTCTTGCATATTTAATCTATCTGTTATTACCTATCAAGCTAAACTATTTAAAAGCAACAGATGCAGTTCTTAAGAAAATTTTTCAAAACTTTTTAATCGGATTGATTTAAATGAAAATGCATTTAATTCACGATGTATTAAATATTTTTTATAGAATTGCATAACAAATAAAGCATTAATTAAAAGTATTAAATATTTTTATAGAATTACATTACAAATTTTTCACTTTTTAAATATACAAAAGATATATAATATTCTCATGTTAGTCTAAATGCATATTAGCCTAAAATATTTGGCTGATCCACCTGGGCCATGTCTATTGATAATCTCTACTGATAAACCATATTAAACATTAAAAGACTATTAAAATCTGAATACTTTCAGATTTTTTTTTTATCTTGCTTTTATTTAATTTATATGTTTACACCGGCATTTCCCTCAGTTTTTACTAATTTTTCTTTTAAAAATTTAGAGGAGAAAATTAGACGGCGAGTATAATTATGTATAGATACATGCTAATGTAGTTGTATTCTGTACTTTAAAAGAATACAGCTACAGTTTATAAGGTATTTTCTTCCTCCTTCCAGCATGCGTTCGTGGTCTAAAGTAGCACACTTGGCGCGTATTCGGGAGGTCCAGATTAGAGTCCTTCCGAAGGCATTGCTCAGTTTTCATATCCCCTATACACATTATAACGGGTTCTACAGTTTATAAATTTCAATACTGTTCCTTTTTCTTACATGATGTACTCTGCTGTTTATTCATACCTTGTACATTGTTATCATAAATCAGAAGTTTTTAATCTTTTGCTGAACATGCAGGAAAATAAAAAAGCAACGCTTTTTAATCCGCTAATTGCCATGATTTGAACTACTTACCTCTGAGGCAAACTTTATTGAAATACACTGAATCAAAAGATGGTACAAGGATGGGTTCATCAGTGGGATCTCTGAGAATGACGTAGCAGTTCTGGTAGCTCTGGTATTGTACGACAAAACCTTGACATCGGGGGCCCAGTCTTTGACATTCAGCTTGACAAGGATGCACGACACCTACAGGAACTCTAGTTGGCACTCTTTCTCTACGTCCACCTCTTACATCGTGCCCAATCACCTTTTCGTACGTGTACTGGTTAAAAGTGCATATAGGCGGAGGCAATGGCGGAAAAACTGGTGGTAGAGGAGGTGGTGGTGGTGGTTTATGTGACGACGTTTCTGTAACCCTTTGCGAAGACAAAATCAAATTACAGTATTTATTTAATAATGAAACATATCATACTGCAAAATTTCACGAATCAAAAATATATTTTAACAGTTTCTGATTGTGTCAAAAAATATCCAACTGTTTAAGGAACATGAATATTTTGAATCAGTAGATTAAAATATTATTTCCATTGGATGAAGGCTAAGAAGAGAAATAATACAACCATTTATCAGGACTACATCAGGGGACCAACAGTGCCTTTGTCAACAATGACGACTGAAAAAGGAAGCTGGAAAATTTCATAATTCTACATCGAACGTAAATGAAAGAAAACAAATTCTAGTTTTGTTCGAGCGAGAAGGAAATGGGAGTTTGTTACTTTATTTTAGTAATTTACAGAAGGAGTTTAGAACAATTTCGGGGAACTTTAATGTTTAGGTTGCAAAAAATATTTTTTCAAATGCTTGATCTGATAGCCTTTTTTCTGTACTAAATCTGGATCGTTATTTCCATAATGGAAGGGCTTTTCATAAAATTTCCAGGCGTATCGATTTCCGTTCCTCTTCAACTACTTTCCACAATCCATTAATTGAGGTGGGTTTGCGCTCAGAAAGAGCTCTTTTCGAGAGACCAAAGTAACGATAATCCATAGGTAAAATGCCAGAAGACTTCACAGGAATACGTTGAAATGTATATATGAAATAATCATCAGTCTTCGTTTTTTTTTTTCAAAGAATGCAATGGTATTTTCGAAGTATGGTTTGTTGCTTTGTCTTGATGAAGTTTCACTCTTTAAAAGTCACTGGGATAAAGAAATGGAATTTCTTCTGTGAATATCGAATGTAAAGCGCTCTCTTGATAATGCATTGATTTGGTTTTAACACTTTTCCCAGTCTTTTTAATTTCAATTTCATACTGTAAAAGAATCCTGCGCCAGTCATAAACCCCTTACTGAAACTTTCGTGGCATTGACGGAATGAGGTTTGTACAATTTTATCTCTTCGCTTCCAATAATAAATGCACCTTTTTTTGTTGCAGTCATTTAAGTAAACCTATATGCTTCATCAAGCTGGTGAACATTATGATTTTAGCTTTTTCAGTTTGTAAATATTGGTTTATTATATTAATTATTACTATTATTATTATTATTTTGCTACAGATGTATTTAAAGACTTTGCAATTGATTTCTGCGTGGACGGACTTTCTTTTCTTACCAACGATTAACATTTCGAAACATTAGAAAAACTACGTACCTTTATCGAGTATTCGTTTAGAATAATCTTTGCGTTTAGAAGTAATGACTGAGGGATTTTTCCCTTTCCAATGAATATTGTTACTTATTTTATGCTTAAATTTTAATACCACGTATTTCACAATGTTTTTGAATTGTGGAATGGGAATATTTCCCTTCGGAAATCGCAAAAACATATCCTTAAATCTACAGCTTGTTTACAGCTAAAAATGTGTAAACACCATTTGTATTTAAAATCAGAATTTTATAACTTCTAAAGTGATTAACATGAACAAGGTTTAATATTATGTGGCTTACATTTTCTCTTATTGAATTTATAATTCTGCTTTGAAGATGCCTGAAGCCTTGGGTGGTCACCAGCGGCAAAGCGCTTAGAGAACTGAACACTGGTAGTTTGACCGAAGTCCAAATCCTAGAAAATAAGTTTGGATAACTGCAAGGGAATTTTCACCGTACTCTCTATCTGTAACTTGAATATGAGCCTGTTTCACTTAGAAATGCTTCTACAAAGGAATCCGTTCCTTAGCCTAGTGTACTTTGTGTCATTATTTTTATGAATCCCATTCCAAAAACAGAGGTGTATATTCCAAAATTTAACTGATAAACATTCTTCAAATAATTATTAAATTTTTGCTTCTAACGTACGTTCTTCAAATAATCATCAAATGCTTTACAAATTGCTCAAACTTCTAATAAGCTGATCAACCAAGCCATATCCGAGAAGAAAAAAGAGATTATATTTGCGAATTTTGCGCAGTGCAAAGGACGCATTCTGTTGATAGTAAATTCAAATTAGTGGGGACTCTGCTTGCAAGTTATTCAGTTATTTTTGCGAGTGGCACGTGACATAGGCTGATTTATTTGTAATGTTTCAAATTACGTCAAAAATTTCATCTTTACCTTTTATAACTCATATAACTTGATACAACATTTGTCAGAATTTGGTAAAAACTGTTCATACGAGAATTTTTATTATGTTAGTCTGCTTAAGCTTAAGAATAGTTGTAGAAAGGGAAAAACAAAAAAATAAAATTACCTAGGACTTGGAGTATGCATGCTTGTTGTCCCTTTAGTAGAGGCGGGAACGGGAGGATATGCAGTGGGCATCAGCCGTCCATCAGAAACTGAAGTTTTACAAGTTTTGCCTGAATAAGTGGCACCTTCTCTGTAGGAAAGTCCGATACCTTGTCCGGTGAGTCGGCTTTCTCCGCTCAACATGCATACGCTACCATGTGCTCCTCTGTCCCAATAGGTATAACTTCTGCAGTTAAACTCCCTTTCTCGGTTGCATTCTCTTTCGCAGTGCAATGTTGATGGAGTATCCGGTAGAGATTTTGATACATATACCATTGCCAAGTCCTCCTCTGACTTTTGGTACGGACAAAATGAAGTTTCTAAGCGGAAAGGAAAAAAAAAATTAGTGCATTGGAATTTTTCAGGTAATATTAAACACACACCTCAAAAAAGTATATGTATCTTTTAATATAAGAACTTCAGATTCCGAACTCTACTTAAGACATACAAGCACGTTGTTTGACTATATTCAGTTTTTTGGTCTTTGATATTTTTTAACATGAATTATGTGCAATGGCGCAATATGCATTGAGTAGTAGTAGTAGTTGTAATATACCTTCGTAGGAATTAGAAATTGAAGTAGAATCAGTGCCCTGTACACGTAATTGATGCTTCAATAGTAGTTGCAAGGCGGCTTCTTGCTCGTCATTACATTTATTTCAGAATACTATTTCATTGAACATGGCTGCAAATTTATCTGACTCTGAAGATGGCATGAGAGCTGGTGCTAAAGGGATAGGTCATGCGATGTCGCAAATTGGATTTCTGCTTTTTATGTCTGATGTGTGAAAGGTTCAAACGCGCACGAATTATATTTTCATAGGTCTACGGTACTGATAGTTGATTATGAATATTACATAAGATAGTTTTCATCACTCTTAAAACAGTGAAAGAGCTGGCAACCGTATAACTTATGAACAGAGCTTTAGTTAAATATCACAAATGGGAACTAAAAATAAATAGCTACATTGCATCATATGACTGTATTTCGAGTGCTGCCCCAAACAAATATTTTAATTTTATATCATTTTGATTTATAATTGAAGGCCTGATCGTGTTTCATTATTAAATGGCAGAAAAGTGAAGCCTGAATGCACTGTCTGACGAATTAAGGCCCTGCTTATGTTACGCTGATGATCACACCAAAACGTTATAAGTACTTTAGAGCTGAAATCTTACGAAGTGCATGGTCTTAACGCTGTCTGCAAGATACTCTTCAGCTATTTCTTAACCCAAAACTTGTGTCATTTGTTTGAAATGATCACTGGTAAGTACGAACTAGGGAGGCATTGTCCCAAAATACCCGCACGCCTTCATAATTCTCGAAAATTCGAAATGTGAAAGAGCATGCAATTAAGATAATACACCATGCTTCAGTTTTTTGCTTGCCAGAATGGAAATAGGCAGGCACTATATCACTTTAATACTATTCTTTTGTCACTTCGTTTCCTTGATATGTAACAATTTTAGCATTTCTGAAGTACATTGTAGAATATATCTACGATCCATGGATCATGTGTTATTCAATGTAACACAATTATAATGTCCACTTCAGAATTTATGGGAAAATATAACCGTGTCATAACAGGGATACTTGCAAATACATTCGGATCTAACCTTCTTAATTTTTAAGGAGGCGGTAGTTGAAGTGACAGATTTACTACACTTCGAAAAATTGTCGAATTATAGAAAAAAGCCCTAACGCTAATTAGGGGCTATTTTCCTAAATTTGTTTAGGAAAAATATACATATTTTTAGGGTTAATATATATGTTACCACCAGTACCATGTATGGACACATATATGACACCATGTATGAAACATCGGCATTCTATACAATACCCAGGCATTTTATAGATCATACATTGCCACTACTTTTCGACTTTCAAATACATTGCCGGTAACATATCCACATCATAAACTTTCAAACAAAGAAATTCGTGCCCTGTAACTTCTTATTGCAATTTATGTTGTATATAAATTCATTTACTATCACTAAATCGATAAAAATGTAATCGCGGAATAAAATATTTTTAGCATGCTGTTTGGCCTGCTGTGTAGATTCTCAGTAAAAAAATATAATTAAAGATAGACTAATTATTTGTATTTAATTATAGTTTCATTTAAGCTTGATTTGTTATGAAAACGAATGTTGTTTTGAGGTTTATTAGAAATGTTACAGATACTTATCGGCATACTTAGAAAATTAACAATAAAGGTACAGTGAATTATGACTTAAAATTTTTTTTTATGAAATTACGGATTTTGGAAAAAATTCTTTAGCGCAATTAAAAAAAATTCTGAAAATTGAAAATTTTCTTACCAACGAGGCACTGGTTTTCGAAAAAATCTACTCTGCTTGCCTCCACTAAGTGAGCTTTAGGTGCAGTTCTGTCATCACCAAAAACGTGGCACTCTCTTCTTAAGTGGTAATAATTTGCTGAACGACAAACATACTTCCGTGTTTCGAGACAATGTTGCTGACATTGCTCCAAACTAACAACTCTGACTACGTCCAATGGACGGAGACCTTGAAGCTCATAATCCATGATTCTTTCATAAACCCATAGTTTAGAGCAACCAAGATATGCTACATAGGAAAAGAATGTAAGAAGGTTAAATCTGAGAAATATAAGATTAGTGAAGTATTCTGCAATCTTTTGCTAAACAAACCAGTCATGTTATGAGTCACAATAATAGTTTAAAGTAAGCGCAACTGATGTACATTTTAAATCAACGGTCTCAAACTCAAATTGCGTGCGGGATGAATTCATGACCTGAAAACAGGTACTAGAATACTTTTAAAAAATATTTTTTAACAAAAAATGATAAAACAAATTTTAAATTTCAATTAATAAATATTTATCAAAGCATGCAAAAACAATAATAACGCAAAAACAAAAATTTTCATTTATATTTATTTTCTGTTCGAAGTCTAAAAATTGATACCTGCAAGAAACTTCTTTTGATTATATTTTGTAATTCAGCTAAATATTAAATTTTAGACTGATATTTATTTCAGATAATTCGAATACATTGAATTAACCACTAAATAACTTGCTGTTGTTGTTGCTTATGCTCACTTGTCTGACGTAGTCAGAACAAGTCCACGAAATTCCTCGTGGCAAGGATCGCTAGATTACGCCTGCCATTGGCAACCGCCTTGAGCACCCTACAAGTGGCACTGCGATTTTGCTCAGTTTCGCTCCCAGTTTTGATAGAGAGCACCCCAGGGAGACGGGACCGAGGGTTTCCCACCCCTCTACCCTTCCACCAAGCCATACGAGAGGACTTTCGGCTCGCCGCATGTTGAGAGTGCCGCCATGCCCCACCGACACTATACATTTACAAACATCCATGCCTTCCCCGGGATTCGAACCCGGGCCCTTCGGCACACTATAACGGTTGGGTGGCGCTTGATAACTTACATTACACTAGAAAAACCAAAATACTGAAGCGCTAACAGCTGTAGGCTGAGAAACTAAATTTACTGATTGTACCAGCGCGGGAAATTCTTGTATCTTACCCTAGTTACGTCACCTTGCGTACAAACATACATTGTCAAAGCTCTATTTTATTCATTCTACCTTCAATAGCAGCCGGGTACATAAGGTCAGACCATATCTTTATGGCTCTAAAACACTAAACACTGCGTTTGGAATAAAATACATATTGAAATGTATTCACGAGCTGCATATAATAGCTTCGGGTGGCTAGTGAGCCCAGAGTTCGAGACCACTTTTATACGTAGTTCGACTACGGAGCCATGGATTATCAATTTAAGTCAATTTGAAGTTATGGTTTGCCACCCAGGGCAAAAAAACCTTCCGGCTTCGTGTCCTGGAAAATTCTCGGAAACTGGAAAATTCCCGGTTTTCGCTATGGAACCTCCCGGATTTTAACATTTCAAGGTTGTCAGCTATGAAATTGATATGATAGAAGACCTTCAGAAGACTTCCTGCTGAGTTCAATGCGTCATACTCACCCGGAACACAGAGGCCTCCGAAAAATGTCTTCCCAATGGCCGCTCTAAAATCTGCCGGATGTATGCTGGGAGGGTCCTGAACGCTACTACATTCGAACCTCTGGTGATCCAGAACGAAAGAGCGACAGTCTGACAAAGCTTGACATCTACGAACGCATTCGGCCGTAATGCCTGGTGTCGAACTGTCACCTCTGTACAGGAGAGTGGACGTCACCCCAAAAGGTTCGTAGCCTGTCAGTTTCTCGAAAATTAAACGTTCCGTAGGGGAGCATTCTGGACCTGCAATGAGAAAAAAATGAGGTCAAATTGAGAAAATATACGTTTTTAACATGAGATTCTAGTGAAAAGCATATTTTAGAAGCAAAATGTAACGAAAGCATAAATTATGGAAAGCATTGTCGTTACATTAAAATAATAGTGAGTTTTTAGTCCTTAAGTAGATATTTTTCCAGGAAATGTATAAATAATATACAGATGTTTATTAATAATACGAAAAGAATAAATTTAATATGAGTTTCAGTTTAACTAACTGAGATATTGGCTCAAAAGGGATATTAATCTCGAAACACGATTTTTCGTTATTTCGCTTTTCATTCGAGCCTGTTGTCATTCGGCTAAGTTATTATTCCTTCATATTTAATCTGTCTGCTATTAATTAACAACTAAACTATTTAAAAGCAAAAACTTCTGCACTTAAGAACATTATTTTTTTACTTTTTAATTGTGTTGATTTAAATAAAAATGCATTTAATTCACGATGTAACTAATAGAATTACATTACATATTTTTTTTTTTTTTTTTTTTTTTACTTTTTAAATATACAGAAGGTATGTCAACATGTTAGTCTTGATGAATATTCATCTAATATCCTATAAAGGATTTCGATATTCCACCTAGGACATCTCTATCGATAATATTTACTGATAAACAACATTAAACTTTAAATCAGCCCTTTTGGGCGATAGTTAAATTCTGGATCCTTTCAGACTGTTTTTTAACATAATTTTTTTCTTTTTCAAAGCATTATGAAATTTTCATTGCATTAATTACTTTCTAATTAACAGATCTAAATAAAACTGCTATTGAAAAATTAAATTCCAATTCTGTTGACATATCAAAGTAATAAATTTAAATACATTACGTTTCATTTTACTGCTGTTCTCGCGAGATACCCGAAAAACAAACAAGAGGTTCTATTAAACTGTCTGTAAATATTTTTCAACGTCAACAAAAGCCACACTTTTCTTTATATTGCGGAATGTTATTAATGTGAAACACGAACAATAAGTATAATCCTAAATAATACTAGTATTTAGGCAACAACACATAAAACACACATTTTATATTATTTTTGGATTTATTCGCTTATAAATTTGAAAAGAAAAATCTAGAAATAAAAGCCAGCAAGGCAGTTTAAAGAAACCTTGATTACTGATGTAGCAATATAGTTAAAAAAATAAATCTCCTCTTTATATTTCCCGATTTAAATAATGATTTATTTAATTACTGTATGCAGCACCTTTAAAATGAAGGTTATATCGATGGAGCAAATGGGCTCATAAACCTCACAATTTAAAAGCAACTAAGCAAATGGACTCATAAACATTTCAATCAACGACTGAAACTGAGTTTGGTTTTAACTAATTTTATTTTCTGTTCATGTTACCGGCAATCTGTGAAAGGCGACATTCTATAGGATACCTAGGCATTTTACAGAATGCCGAAAGCTGACCGTCAATGTATGAGACGATTAACATTTCACACATTTACTAGGCATTATACAGAGTGTCAAATGACAAACCGACAAAGCATTAAATAATTTCCTATTTGTATAATGAGAGCGACAGAGAACAGTTTCTACCACACTGGAACCTTTGAAAGAAATTTAAAACAGTTATACACAAGATCACAATTCAATTTATGCACTAAGAACTTGTTTCGAATTGAAAATATTCCTAACCACGAAATTCCTGTCTGGTTAGTTACAATTGCTCAGTCCAGGCAAGAATTCATCAAGTATAATGTGTAAAACAAAGTCCCAAATTATGGAATGTCTTTGCGTGAAAAAGTAATGACGTGTAATTCAAAAGTCATTCAAGTCTACCATGTTGCAAAGGAGGGACACCAAAATAGGCCAAGAGGGAAATTTTACTTTCTAATATTTCCTTAAATTTCTTTATGAAAAACGTTTAAGGTACTTCAAATTTAAAATTTTGATTTAAATTAATTTTTTTATTATTTAAAATTTTAAATACCTTTCTTAAAAAGGGAATTATGATTGCCAACTTGCAGTTTTGAAAAGCATTGAGTACTATTTCAAAAGAGATGATTTAAAGCAATAAGAAGACCGTTATATTTTTGAGCCCCAGCGCACTCGTGTGCATTTTCTTAATTCATTAGCCAAATGAAATCAAAAACTTTATTAACTGTTAACAATTAAGTAATTAAAGCGAGATAGAAAGATCATTGTAATGTATTTTGTATAATTTTCAGGTCGCTCTTATAATCTTGAACTAATATAAAGTTCAAATTTATATAAAACATCAAATAATAGACCGTTGCAGTGGGTAAAACTAACAATCTCTTTCAAGAAATCAATTTAAAATTTTAGATGTACTTTCACTGAATTTTGTACTGCGAGAAAAATAAATGATAAATAAATGCTTGCACTCTTGCAATAAAAAAACTTTAGATGCAAAAATTACACTCTAACAGATTGATTAATCCAGTATCGGATATCGGTAAATAGATTGGCTGCTTAGGGATTTTCGTTCCCCTCAGGTATAACCTAAATATGAGCCAATTTTCATTAGGAAGTCCTCCGCGAAAGCATCTCACTCCTTAGACTGATAGCCCTTGTTTGCTTTGACAATTAAAAAGGCAAATATAGAGAACTACGTTTTGCAATAGGAATGATTGAAATGAGAGTTGAAAGATTAAAAATCTTACAACTCAAATGGAGATATCCAAATTTAAACATGATAACTTTCAATTTTCAGTTTCTAGCTAGTAAAAACTTAATGCCATTAGATTCGAAAAGAAGCGGCTTTTAACTTAAACCTCTAAATGATATAAACACAGAGGATGTTCACACATTTTTATAACGATTTTGAAAGGATTTACATGTACACAAACCTTAGAATTTTATTTTCTAACATGTTCAATCTGATAGCCGTTTGTTGAGCTATCATATTACGTCTTGATTTACAAGTCCTTTTCTTAAAACATCAAGGTTGATTTTATTCCACTCCTCCTTCATGATTTTACAGAATCCAGAACCAACATATTAAGTCTTTTTCTCCTCTTTTTCGGTAGTAAATCGATATTTTTCTATTGCAATCAGATACGTTGTGGAGACATTAGTTTAATTTTTTGGAAGCAGGCAAGATGAAAACTAAGCAATCGCCTTCACCGGGAATAGAACCACGGACCTCTCGAATACCGGCCCAGCGTGCTGAACAATACACGACGAAGGCACGCTAAGAAGGTGGAAGAAATACCTTATATGACCCCCTTTAAAAAGCGACTGGAGTTTTTAGGGTACCCAATCGCCAAATCCTGGGTGAGGAGAATCATCAATCAACACCCTTGAGAAATACCTTATGACGTATACCCAAACATCCTCAAGTGTAATTGTATATTTCCATTTTTCACCTGCCAAATAATTTTATACAGCTATCTGCACATAGTCCTACGCTGAGAAACATGTTTCGGTGTTAGGCGATGTTTAGAAAATGTAAAATAATTTTTCGTGTTTGCAACATGTTGATTAGACCTGGTAACACTGGCATTTTATTACTGTCACATGTTATTCGACATAAACCTCTACACAAAGGAACAGCAAGTTTTGATGGTGGAAACTCATTACAAGAATGCTGAGCATTACGCACAAACTGTTAAGAAGCTTTGTGATATCTTGGAAAGAGAAAAGTGCACCTAATAAATAGAACAGCAGTTCGCAGAGTGATGAAGATATCTGAAGAAAAAAAAAAAAAAAAAAAGACTCAAAAGGAAAGGAAAAGCAAAACAGTTTAAAGAGGAAACTGAACTTGCCATTAGTCACTTCATTAGACGAATATATGACAAAGTAATTACGACCTTCTTCGAGACAGTGCGGTGCTGCAGGTCTCGAAGAAGCCGTGGAAGACATAAGGTCGTGACAAGCCGTGGAAGACATGAGGTCGTGAAAGACATAAGTTAGACATTATTTTTCATTCGGAAATCGGAACATTTACCTGTTGTAAGTATGTAAATATATTTTCCAGTTTCTGTAATTTACAATGGGCATATTAAACCCAGCGTTTTTGTCAAGTAACAATACATTATACAAAAAATTCTGTAAGAAACCAATGTGAATTTTTACTGTTGGCAATAAACGTCGCCCGCCATTCAAATCTATTCCCGAGAAAGGTTGATTTTTAAATATAAGCACTAAAATAATATTTAAACAAACTACAGGATGATTAAATTCGAAAGAGAAGTGACGGATATTATGCTTTGTCAAATAACAACCCTCTGAAAACGTTTAGGGCAATAACAACATAAGACGCCCAAGAGATAAAAATGATGTAGTAATGAATACAACCAGAGCAGCAAGTTTGAAAAGCTTTCGTTGAGTAGGTTTTAAGAGTTAAAAATTCAAGAACTCCGTTATTAAGAGCTGAAGACGTTCTGCAGAATTCAAATTAAAAAATGTGCTGCATCAGTTTCCTGAATCTACAAGAAGATTCATTAGATCAATAAGATGCCATCGTCAATAAGTAAAAGGAACAACAGTACGAGAAATAAAATACTCAAGTCCTTAATTGCAAAATCGTTGATAAGGGGTTAGATTAGGTTTCGGATGACAGTTGATTATAATTTTTTGCTTCAGACAGGTGAATTATTGCCCTCCGAAGAAAGAATTAAAAGCTACATAAAAACAAAGTTGTACTTCTAAGAGAGCCTAGCGGTGGAGGTATATTTGTATGGGATGCATGTTTGCAGCATGCTGAACTTTATACTGAAAGCTTTTTATATCATTTGATATAACCGGGTACTTCAAAAGAAAACTTGAAAACATCTGACTATTCGATATAATTGGAAACAAAATCAAGAAGTACCCTTAAGCATATTGATATAGATATTCGTTTATAATTTTGCAGTGGCGTAGATAGAGCTTTTGGCTCCTAGGGTGGTTCCTGAATTTGTTTTCTTTTGATACATAAGCAAATAACTTTAAGAAGTGTCAAAATGGCACGCAAAGGATTAAATTAAAACTCTACGTTTATTTTTAAAGAAAAACTTTAATTCCAACATTTTAAAATCATATTATTCTTGTTCTTTTTTTTTTTTTTTTTTTTTTTTTGTTCGTGACGCCGTTGATAATAATCTAAATGTTTTGATGTCTTCAGTTGCTGTTACGCAGACAGTGTAGAAATATTTCTTAAATGCAAATTAAACATTTGTAGCTCTTAAATATTTTTAAAATTATTTTTATTTAGAAAACCCTTGTCACAAGAAGTAACATTATGTAAGAAAAGTTTGCAGCATTATCAAAATATTTGAACCTCGTTCTGAAGGATGTATTTTATACTAAACTGCAAAAAACTCAAAAGAACAGTCGTTTTACATTCCTATTTCGTTTTCTTTAGCAATAACGGAGAGAGAAGAAAGAGAAGAAAGAAAGAGCGCGTGCGTTTAACGGAAATAAAACTATGAAATAGTTTTCTCTTTTAACGAGAAACTCTTCCTTATGAATGTCACCGCGATCATAATTTAATTGATACTCGTAATTTACAAGAAAACGTTTTGAAGGAATAAAGAAAAAAGGTATAACAAGTTGAAATCTTGTTATACCTTTTTTCTGATGAAATGAAGTATTAAAAGAAATGATTCTTTTAATACTTCATTTACAGCAAAAACCATTTTTCATCTTAGTCCTACATGAAAATTCAGAATTTCATTATTCTTCATTTGCTTCAACGATCGACATGACTAACCCGTATAAAGTAATGTTTCATGTAAAAAATGCCTCCCTCCAAAAGTGCCGCCCGGAGAGGACTGTCTCTAGCTACGCCACTCTAATTTTGGCCTCCTGCGATCAAACCTACTCCTCAATTTCCCGAATTGAATTATATAGAATATGCTAGAGGTAACAGTGAGAAAACATAGAATTCATTCAAAAATTGAATAGAAAAATAGGATAATATAAGAATGGAATAATACAAATTAAAAAGTTGAGAAAAAAGTTAATTAACTCAATACCAATTTGATCGTAATCTGTAAGAAAGCATGTGGATAAGTCATTGAGTATTAAAGTTTACAGATGTTAAACATTTTATGCTTTTACAAGCTTTTAGTTCCCATCCCAGTGTTAGGGATAGTTTTGTAAAAGGCAGATTAAAGATATTACTTAAATAATATATTGAAAAATATTCTTATTTAAGTTTCCTACATAGAAAATTTACACCAATTTTCGAACATTTTAAGGTGTCACCATATTTAAAATGTATATTGTGGACACCACATGACTTCCTTGTTCGGCTTATTAAATTACACACATTTTTTGCTGATCTCTCAAGGTAAGTAAAAAATAGCATTAAAAATTCCAAATTTTGAAATTAAACATCACGGTCAATTTCTGTTATACAGGAGTCAAACTTCTTGCATTTTTATATTCTCATAACGAGTATAAAGCTTTTCTAAATATAAGAATCAGGAGACTGTATTAAAAGTTAATTTTGTTATTTGTCAAAAATTATTATTTTTTTAAAAATTTATCATTGTCAAAAAATAAATATTTTCATCATTTAAAACACGTCTGTAATTGGAATTATATGACTACGACCAATGATTGCAAAGACCTATATGCAAAATTTCAACATTCTACGGCTAATCGTTTTTAATTTATGCCAAATACATATATACGGACGTACATACGTACAGACAATACTTTTTAGTGACGAATCCATTTTATATTAAAAATGTTTTGGAAAAAGAGTCCTTTATTTTGCCCGTATGTTAAGACGTTAAGTAAAAAAAGCAGTAAATAGATATTTCCTTTGAACTATGATACCTAAAATTTATCACTATTACGGTACGTCTTTTACTTCGTTCAAGGAAGTAAAAACATCCAAGATTCAGTAAAAAAAATAGTATTTTTTATATTTCAACTTACGAGACGGTTCTTGAGGCTGATATGGTGGTCTCGTCTTCACTGTGGTTTCCTTTTCTTGAAACTGGGCTTGAGTGTTACTGGAGATACCCAATGTAGGGACAGAGAGAGATGAAGTTACGGTCACTTCCGGAGCTGTTGTCTCTGTATATGCTTCAATGGTTGTGACTTGTGGGCACATCCTCTCATAGTACATGATGCCCGGGCGTTTTTGGATGGCCGCAGATCCACCACTAGCTTTGTCATCTCCGCTTAGAAAACACTGTAAGGCGCTTGAATAATAAGAGAAGGAACGGCATGAGAAGCGTTCAAGATTATTGCAGAGGTCTCGGCAAGACTCTAATGTAGATACTCCCTCTGTCTGTATGATGTTTGCATATGTGGGATAGGCATCTTCTGTCTCTACATATGGGCAACTAGTATCCACTGAAAAGGTATAAGACATTTTAAGCACAGACATTATCAAACTACTAATTTTAGTCGAGTTCTGAGGTGTTTTTGAATAGACATTGTAAACATGGCAGTACCATAACAAGCTACCAGTTTTAATTTGAATAAATTTATGCTACGTTTCTACGTTTTCATTTATGCTAATTAGATTATTGACACATGATGACCCAAAAGTCGATAGACCATTTAAAATTCGAATAACTTTCAGTAGTTAATTAATTTTATTTTTTATTATTGAAGGGTTCTCCTTGGGATTATGTATGAATAAATTCTATATTAAGAAACGTGTTAAAATAATAGAATTTTATCTAAACAATCAATGTTTAAGTATGCTAACGCGATTGGGAGACAGAAGAACAGATCATCAACGTATTCTGCAACTAAAGCGAGAATGTAATTAAAAAGGTCATATTCAAAACATTTCGGAAAACAACTGTTTAGTACAATTTTTCTTCTTTGTCACATGATATAGAGCAGTCACCTCACCACGAATCCCTTTGGGTTTACCACGTAAAGAGGAAACTAATTCTCCATTACAAATGATGGTTGATGGTAGGGGATTCAGTGCTTGAGTATGATTAGTTGTCGTAAAGGAACAATTTAAAATGTTTTTGTGAAAAGAAGGAAAACATCGTCTATCGTTCTTTCAATAGTAATGCAGATAGAAAAGTTGTCTGAAACAGTTGTTCATCCGAAAAAAATAGATGTGCGATAGCAGCCTAACAATCCTCGAACCATTGAGCAACTAAAGGCCAACTCCCGCGAAGAAATTGCTGAAATAAGCCAAAAAACATTACGTCAGTTGACGGTTTGCTCCTCAGAAAGAGCGCGTCAGTATGAAGAACAGAATGATGGTTATTTAAAGGATGTTACTTTATTATTTTCAAGAAGCGTTTTTTCTGTTTATAAAAAAACAAATGCTTATTATTGATAAGCAAAAAAGTATTTCATTTTGAAACTGTCTAGTGACGTTTTTTAATATTGGCTAATAAGAAACTTACACATTGAATTGACAGCAGTTTCTGCTTCTTAAAGTAAAAAATTATGAGTATTTTCAGAGGTATTATGATACTTGTATTATTATGAGACATATATCAAGTTTCATAACTATACATCTTAAAATCTGAAATATAAAATACACTTAGAATATATTTCAGATGGCATAGTTACTGAATGTAAATTAAAATTGATATTTGATGAGATACTTAATAACATTTGTAGTAAAGCTGGTTATATATGAAAGGAAAAATTCTTTCTGACAGAGGGAATATAAAATCATACGTAGTTAGTTAATTACTTTAATTAACTAAATATGATATTTGTCGAATGGGAGGATACAATCACAACTTATTCTTAGAATTTATTCTGAAAAACACGAAAATATCATCTGACCAAAATAAATTATAAATGCCAAAAATTCCGAATGCTATTTTTAATATAAAGTTTTCGATAACTAACAGCAGCGATTTTGATTATGAATTTGTTATAAAATTCTGAGCTGTTGAACTACAAAAATATAGATTTTAGCAAAAAATGCTATGATTAAAGAATGAAAAATATATTACGGTACCTTAAAAATTGTATATGTCTTTTACAGAGTATGCCCTTGACAGAGTATTCGCTCCTTTTATGTTCCAAACACCAAAATGTTTTAAATAAAATAATATTTTTTTGCCGTCCACATATTATTGTAGCATGTACTTTTTAAACGTTTTTAGCGGAGAGGCTTAATAGTTGCTCATTTTAAAATCATCATTTTATTTTTGCATAACTGAAAAATAATCACTTTGGTTTTGCACTTTGGGTTAACTAAAAAGTAAAATTGCCCCCAAATGCTACAATCCTCGTCAAAATTAATAAATACACAGACCAATATGCCAATAAGTTAACTTTTCCTTGATTCGTAACCACACATTTGTGTAAAATTATGTATAATTTTACGCAAATATGTGGAACAGAAGACAGATACATTTGCGAATTCAGCGGAAGGGATGATGAGAGCATGTGAATGTGCCACATCATCAAGACAACTTATTAAGAATTTGAAAATAGGGTAATCGACGGAGGTGAAAACATTTGTGTATCCTGTCAAAGGAGGTCCGAATCTGTTAAAAGGTATTGTAAAGGAAATTCTATGAGATGCGTACTTAAAGACGTAGTATAGAAGAGTTTTAGAACATGTATTGTTGAAGTTAAGGATAAAAAAAATTGTTAATTATTAAAAGAATTATTCCCTTACATTTTATAATAATTCAGTTACAAGTTTTAAATAATATTAAGAAAAATCCTTTTTTAAATTTCCTTTCAGAAATATTCAGAGAAAGTTAAGTGCATGGAAATGAGCACCAATATTGAAAGTATTTCACTATTAAAATAAAAGGTGCTCTAATTTGACATAGACCGAATAGAGCATTAATTATAAATCGACTCAGATTTTCGATTTAATACATGCCTTAGAAGCTAAAAAATCATGTCATATTTGAAAAAGTATTTTAGGAAGAAGCTCTGTTAATACAAAAGAAATAATGCGTAATTTTAATAGTAATAATAAAATAAACTTTGATCTTAATTTTTGTTATCCTTAACCAAATGAAATCGAATTTCCTTAAAAGTTTTTTCTAATGTAATTAAGGAAAATTTGTGAAAATATTTCATTCAAATTAAACTGTTCTGAGCAAACTGTTATGTGAAAAGTATAGCATTTAATTCCGTTCAGAATGAAATGTTGTTTAAAAATGTATTCTTGTGGCATACTACTTAGGACTCTGAAATATTGCAGAAAAAGAAAATCTGTACATTTATATCTATATTTACGATGTAATTACAGAATATTTACATCCGATCGTGTCAAAACTCATTGAACGTAATGGTAAATGACCCAAATGTTTTGGTCAGCACGAAGGGATCACCAGTGCTTCAAAGCAGTGTATAAGGAAAGCCAGTTAGGGCCTCTCCTCTTACTTCCTACCTCCATGGATCGATCCAAGGGGATAAAATTGCACACAGTCAGGTGTTATGAAACGCAAGTCAAGGCGGCCGGCAAGCAGTCGCCAACAAAGAGGACGAAGATCAAAGACTGTTCCCCTCCTCCGTGTTGACCATGGAGGTAGGAAGATGGAGTGGCCCTAAACAGGTTTCTCCCGTACCCTGCTCTGAAGCACTGGCGATCCCTACGTAGTGACCAAAACATTGGGATTGGATTGGATTATTACGGCAAAGCACACGAGGGCTATCTGCCTAAAGGGAGTGATGCCTTCGTGGAGGACTTTCTAAGGGAAACTGGCTCGTATACACGTTACACATGGGGAAAACCACGAAAACGCCCATGCAGCCAGCACGTTCGCGGGATTCGAACCTCGGACCGAACTACCAGTGTTCAGCGTCTTTACCGCTCGGCCGCTGGTGGGCCCAAAACATTGGGACATTTACCATTAAGTTCAATGGGTTTTAACGCGGTCGGATGTAAATATTTTGTAATTACGTCGTAAATATATATATAAATGTATATATTTTCTTTTTCTACAACACTTCAGAGTCGTAAGTATATGAAAACAACATATTTTTAAACAACATTTCATTCTGAACGGGATTAAATGCTAAACTTTTCGCAGAACAGTTTTCTCAGAATGGTTTAATTTGAATGAAATATTTTCACGTTTTCGTTAATTACATTAGAAAAAAAAAATTAAGGTAATTCGATTTGATTCGGTTGAGGTACAGAAATTAAGATCAAAGTTTATTGTATTATTAATATTGAAATTATGCATTATTTCTTTTCTATTTATAGAGCTTCTTCCTAAAATACTTTCTTAAATATGACACGACTTTTTTGGCTTCTGAGGCATCTTTTAAATCGAAAAATATAAGTCAATTTATAATTAATGCTCTATTCGGTTCATTTTAAATTATAGAATTATTAGAAATTAGCGAAATACTTTAAATAGTACTTAACTTTCTCTGAACATTTCTGAAAGGGAATAAAATAAGGATTTTTTTAAAGTATTATTTAAAACTTGTAACCGAGTTATTATAAAATGTAAGGGGGATACTTCTTTTAATTATACTTATCAGATTTTTTTTTACCATTAATTTCAACAAAACATATTCCAAAACTCTTTATTAGTTTCTTAAGTGCGCATCTCACAGCATTTGCTTTACAATACCTTTTAACAGATTGCTTTCCAGTACGAACAGTTCTTGCTTAAATAGTTTTATAGCGTATTTGTGAACAGGATGTCAATTTATGTTTACAATTCAATATTAAGGTTATTATATATTTAGATAGCATTTATAATCATTATAAATTAGATACATTTAATAATTAGACTTCTTCACAGTTGTTTATAAATGAATAAATTCTTCATTTCAAATACATTTATAAATAATTTAATGAATATTTATGTATTTTGTTAAAGGCAGATACATGCTTTTTGTAAGCACATGCATAAATACCCATACATATTTCATATTTTTCATTTCCGGCATGTGCAAATCTTTAATTTCTGTGCATTCACTATATTTTATTTTTAATTAACCCAAATAAATAAAACATGAAAGCCCAAAGGGATTATTTTTCAGATGTATAAAATTAAAATGATGAGTTTAAAAAGAGCAGCAGTAAAGCCTCTTCTCTAAAAATTTTAAAAGGTACATGTTACAATAATATATGGATGTGAAAAAAATTTATTTTATTTAAAATATTTTGGCGTTTGGAACATAAAATAAAAGTAGCGAATACTCTATCAAGTGTATCGAAAAACGTATACAATTTAAAGGTACCGTAAGGTATTTTTCATTCTTTAAGCATAACGTTTTTGTAGTTCAACAGCTTAAAATTTTATAAAACAAATTCATAATCAAAATCGCTGTTGTTAGTTATCGAAAAAAAACCAAGATGTGATTTTTGCGTAAATGTCCCTAAACTATACAAATTGCTATTATCAATCACACTATGAATGTTTCTTTCATGCGAAAGTGTCCCTTTTTCGATTTGTATGGAACTGTCGTGTGTCGAAATACTATCAGAACACTGTCAAGCGAGCTTCTGAATGTAAACAAAGAACACCCCATCTTGTGACCGAAGCTTCGAAGCAGTGCTTCACTTCTAGTGCCAGTTGGCCACTCCTTCCTTTCTTACCTCCATGGTGTTGACTAAGGGGAGCCAAACCTTCAAGGACAGCCTTCGATGTCTAACCATGTAGCGTCACAACAACCAAAAGGCAGACGGTTCCTACCGATCCTGAACCTACCACCGAATAAACGATGGTTCTAGTCATTGCGATGACTAATTATTTACCACACAGCCAGAACGTCGGGGTGGCCCCCGTGGTCCCGGGAAGGGATGCATAAAGGTGACAGTACGACTTTGCTCAGTTCGACATAAATTCTGAGAAAGAGCAACTGAGGACGGTTCTAAGAGTCTCCTACTCCTTTTCCCTTACTCCCAATATCTTTAGAGGTTTTTGAGTGCTTACACATGCAGTACACTTACAAGCATCCATGCTTTCTCAAGGATTCAACCCATGCCTTTTAGGAACGGCAGTCAGCGACATTAACCGCTATCCCGTCTGGCCGGCAGACATCATAGCAGCGCTATTTGTCCCCTAGAAATTAAACCTCCATTATTCATTAATATCCACGAAATCATAATTAGAATATCGGCGTTTGGTTTCAATGACAACAAAAGATTCCACAATTTTCTTCCATCGATCAAAATATAGCTTAAAAATTTTGCTATTTGTGAAAATTTTCCGAATTGCTGAAGACTATTGAAAAATACTTTGCTCCTTTTAGTTGTTCGATAAATTTTCTTGTGAACACTTTTTCTAAAAACTTATATTAATTTATTCTGAAGAGTCCGTCTGGGCGGCATCTGTAGATGTCAGCAAAAACATATAGAAGCAAGTCTGTGAAATTAAAATTAAATTACATCATATCAGTAATATACAATCAATAATTTTATAATTGAGGCAACTATCTTGCTTTTTCATCAAACAAAACATAAGTTTTTACAAGTATCATTTAGTTTCTTGATTATGTATTGGCCAGTTATGATGAATTTCTTGGCTATTTATTGGCCAGTTATGACAAACCTATGATAATTTTGCCGATGCAAAACATAGCTTAATTCATTAAAGTATTTTTATCACCTACAAAAGGCAAGTTAACTGTAAAACGAGTTCTCAAAGTGAATTGTAATTAATAAGAAAAATTTTCTATTATGAAACGGAAGAAAAGTAAATAAAATTAAAAATCATTTCCTTTTTTATAGAAAATTTGTTATATAGCCTTAGGGTGTTTACCTGGAAGACAGCTATTTTCTAAATAGCTGACTCTTGCATTTTGACTTCTGTAATATTTCATCGGTTCCGTCCTGCGGTCCGATGGGGATAGCTTACATTCACCACTGTCTTCATCATATCGGGCAGACTTGCAAGTAAATTCTCTTTCTGAGAGACACAACTGGATACAGGATGTTCGAGTTTCCACTTTATTGATTGTTTTTTGGTATAAATTATCCGCAAGCTCGTAACCTAGCGCTCTTTCGAAAGCCCATGCCTTGTCTGAGCAAGTCTGAGCCTCTGGACCTAAAATATACACATTATCCTTATATTTATTTACTATATATTTATTAAAACACTTAAAAAGGTGATAGTAATGACGCAAAGGTATCCTGAAATATAAAGGCTGAGATCTGCAAGAAGTTTCTATTGGTTACACTTTGTAATTCAAACGTATTGACAGCTAAATATCAAATTTTTATATTCAACTTAAACATTTTTCCTGCGTATAAATATTTTTTGAAAATAAAGTATTATTTTGATTATAAAATGCATCTTTTTACATAAAATAACGACTTAAAACTGGGATCAGTTATTTATGATTCAAAAGTGGTGAACGAAGTCTGAGTCTATTTACAAGACGCATCGTTTTTTTAAAATAATCGACTTAAAATTGAGGCCAATTATTTATGTTTCGCAAGTGCTGAGCGATGTTACGAAATCCGAATCTATTACAATATTCACCTTTGCTTAAAGCTTAATCGACTTCAAACTGGGATCAGTTATTTATGGTTCGAAAACGGTAAGCATAGGATTTTATGAAATTCGAGGTCATAAAACGTATGAGATGTGTTATTAAGAAGTATTGTTATGTAAATATGAGATCATGGCATGGCGTATGAAATAGAATCAAGATTCTGAGAATAAATTATAGCCAGTTGCCACTCATAGAAATGTTTCAACTCAATTACAAGGAACCGACGGTTATAAAACAGTGCTTTAAGAAATGGGACTTCCGATGTTCGTATGGCACCGGAAACGATTTAGTTCCCAAGGAAAGAGACAACAGTACTTTTGACAATAATACGGGTAACTTGGCGCTTTCAAAGTCAATTTGTATGCGGACTAAATGCACGATTTGAAAACAGTTGACGGCCGGATATTTTTGTTTTTAATCGAAATGATTTTTTAACAAAATGATCTATTAAACTAAATTTTAAATTTTATTTACTATATATTTATTAAAACACTTAAAAAGGTGATAGTAATGACGCAAAGGTATCCTGAAATATAAAGGCTGAGATCTGCAAGAAGTTTCTATTGGTTACACTTTGTAATTCAAACGTATTGACAGCTAAATATCAAATTTTTAGACTGACATCTATTTCTAATATATTAAACTAACCACTAAGTAACTTATTTAAACTAAAAATAATTAAATTACGAAACTTGAGTATAAATAAGGATAAGTTATAGTAAGGATAAGTTATAGTAAAGGTTGAAATTATAAATAATAGATTAATTTAAATAATAATTCTTACAATGTTAATGGTGTTTATAATTTGTTGCTTTATTTTCGATTCATCTTCAAACACAAACCTCACGATTATTTGAATTACTGAGATATTAGTCATATGTGTGACAATGGACTTTCATGTAAAAGTTAAATACCTTGCAAGCATATTTTCTCAAAATAACTTTCACCATCTCTAGCTATAAGCTCCTGCGTTCGGCCGTTTGAATTTCTGTCCAGTCGATCACAACGCATATTGTGGTAATGGTCACTGAACGCTGGACATTCCGTGCCATCCTCCAGACAGATCTGTGCGCATTCTAAAGTATTTCCCAAAGCTCCATGCTTGCTCACCTTCATCATGCTACCTTGGGCTGAGCGCAGAAGAACTCCAGTCATCTTTTCGAAAGTCATCACACCATTATCACATTGTTCTAGAATAAATCATAATATAAATGTTTTAGCTTTCATGGAAATAAGTGCTTTGAAAACAAACATTTTGACGTGTTTTCTATTTATAGCCTGTATTATTTTATATACTATAAAAATTGCTTTATTTCTTGCGAAAAAAGATAACAGCATAGATTAGAAGATATCTTAACTGTGATTTTCAATTTCAATGATTATTGCCAGTGATCTTGAAAATTACCTTTCGGGTTTTCCTGTTCTCCCTTTTATTTTCAGTTTTACTTCTTGAAATTTTAATTTAGATGCGATCTTTAATAATGTGTTTTAGTTATCGGTAAGAAACTTTAAACGTGTAATATTAAAGATAAGCATCTGTTTTAACTACAGCATATTAATTACAGCATATTTGTATAACTACAGCAGTATTAAGAATGGAAATAATTAAGGACAAAATAATAAACGCGTATGTGCGAATTAATAAAAAGCATTCAATTGATACAATCTCAGATAAATCAGTAAACCATAGAACCTGCTTAAGTCGAAAACGGTATACGATATTTCCAGAATGTCTGAAACAATAACTCAAAACCGCCATGGATATTTTGTAAGTAGTAATGCTCTAAAATAAGATGGTTAGATGATTATAATACTATTACATAAATGAACAATCAATGTGATCTAAAGCAATTATTTGTAATTTCTATACATTCAGTTGGCAGCAGATACAAAAACTGTTTATGGCGAGGCAGGAGAGAGAGAAAGAGAATCTAATAAAAATTGAGCTACACATGGCCATTCTGATATATTGGGAAAAAATTGAAGTTATTTAGATAATTAGTTGGGAAAACACACATGAATTTCAAAAATGATGCAAAATTAGAGTTATTACTTACTTGTCTCTTTGTACGTAGAATAGCCGTTATCAATTTAAAAAAGATGATAATACGATGGCATTTAGCAAAGCATCTCTTTCTTGAATTAATGTTGACATACGTATTATTGAAGAAGAGTTAAAGAATAGATGGCTAAGAAATGCCGTATGTACTTATTTTGTGATTCAAGCTGAACTGTGCTTGTAGCATTGATGCAATGTGGAAGTGACATCACAATGATTCCAACAAAATCACTGTATCTAAGTCTGTTTATCATGTATCATTAAAAGTAATAGGGGCCAGTTCCGCGTTGTTTTTCTTTTTTCTTTTAGTAACAAAATATCAACTTCACAATTCATAAGACACTACTACCATTGCTACACAATTCATAAGACGTTCATTAAAAAGTTAAATAATGATGTCTTTGGAAGCCTACGAAGTGAATATAAAACTAGCTTAGTCAATATTCTATAAGATCTTTTACGGGCGCACTATATGTCTTTAATAGGCGCACTAGACTAGAGGACAAAGAATTTTGAATATTTTGACTCACGGCTTCTATGATGCCTTCATAAATTTAAACCTATTCTCCTTCCCAGCTAGACAAAAGTTCCTTAAAAATCAGGCATTTTTATAATTTAATTAACAATTTTTATATTTATAAAACTACAGAATATGTTAAAATTTTACCTTAAAATTTTAAAAATCTTGCGAACAAAGATTATTGAAAAATTTACTTGAAAAAAAATGAAGTTTTTATTATCATTATTACTTCAAAAAGAAGAAAAGCGTATTTTTAAATTGAACTTTTAAGTCTTTGATTAAAACCAGGTATTTTAAGAAAAAGACAAATGAACTCGTACTTCTTCATATATGTTTTATATATTAACTCATGTTTAGAAACTAAAATTCTTACTCAATTTTGAAAGTTTCCTCTTGATTCAATACAAACAAATGATGGCATTACTTTCGAAATGTCAAGGAGTAACTGAAAAGAGTATGTGAAACTGAATACTATGAAATAAGTTTTCGTAAAACCACCGAGGAAAATACCTTGAGGTTAAGTAAAGAGTTTAACCCTAGAATACTAATCCTTACATTTAGTACGGTAATACTAACCATGCGTAAAATTTACTCACTACATATTTAAAAAACATTTATAGCATATTTTAAAAACGTAATTCTTGTACATGTGTATATATTTGAATGCTACACAAAAAGTTATTTATTAAACATATCTATGTAATAAAATTCAGTAAAATAAGCACACTTAATGAGTAAAAATGGAAAACAGGGAGAAAGAAAATATAATAATAAAAATTACACTAATGGTATTGCGATAGTTAAACAGAATTTCTGCTGATGTTCACCGCAATTGGCTTTTCAAATTTGCGACAATAAGTAGTAGTATACGTTCTTTTTTAAAGTATGAAACAAGAAGAACAATATTTTCTAGGCTCTTTTCAGGTATCACTTTCTTTGCATGTTGATGAGCTTGTTTCTTCTTGTACGACTTCGTGCTCTTTATGAAAGTTTTCATCACTTATGGAATTTTCTATTATTGAACATAGATACTTTGGAATAGTTGGAGTTTTAAGTCCATTTATTCAGCATATATTGCAATCTTGATAATGGCTTAACAGAATTTTGTTTAGCATAGAAGTTGTGTGTATATATTACATACGATTTGATACATGCCGTATTTAGCATATTATAAAAATGCATAAAGGCCATCGACGTGTTTTTCTTCCAAAGTTTATATGGTGACATATATGGTGACATGATCGAAAATATCAACGGCTCCTTTTGATTTGTTATAGTCACATAAAAATTGAGCATACAACTTGAGGTATGTTTTATCTTTAGTGCCGATGATAAAAGCAGTACGAGTTTATCTAATTTTGGTTTATGCGATAGTACGATTAAACCCTTATGGAAGGAAAAAAACGAAGTTCCTGTAGTTCTTTGCTGAAATTTTATATCAACAAATTCTTCTGGAAGTTCTCTTTTGTTCTTTTTAACAGTACCTATTACAGTCAACTGATCTTCATTTAAAGGTGATAATTGAACTAATGGTATATTTGTAAACCAGTCATCGATAGTTATATTTCGGTGTGAATTTCATATAGTTTTAGTTATTGTTTTTACAAAATAATCAGTAGTTGGTTGCTTATTTGGGACAGTTCCTTTACCCAAATAAGGAATTGCATCAATCATATATTTTGTAGTATTATCACACATCATCACTAATTTAATTCCATATTTATCTGGTTTGGGAGGGATATACATCCTAAATGGACAATTTCCTCTAAATCCAAAGAGTTGCTCGTCCGTTGTTACATATGCTCCAGGTTTGTAATTTTTTTCTGCAATTCCTCAAAACGTTTTCCCAAACTTCAGAAATAGGAGAAAATTTACGTTGAGTTTGACGTTCTTCTCTCGTCTCTTTACAATCAAATCTCAGACAATTTACCAAAACATTTAATCGTTCTTTGGACATTGTTGCTAACTATCTATCGCCGCAATAAGAATTATTGAATAATAAGTCAGATGACAAATGATTATTCTACAATGAAGTTGCTAAAACTATTAAACCAAAAGTGCCTTTAGCTCAATCAGTGAAAGAAAAGGTAATGTATATTTATTTTGTAACTTAAACTTCAAACGTTGCCCTTCAGTCTCTTCATTTGTATATTTTAAAATAATGTTTAAAATGTCTTCAGAGAAAAATAGCTGAAAGCAGTCTATTGATTGATAAGAAGAATGAGCAACTTAGGTAGGACCAGGTTGAACATGGGCAATATTTCTTGCCGGAATTTTTGTATTTCCAATTACTCTGGTTGTTTTCCATTAAGAATCATTCTTACCAACTATTTCTGAGCCATTCATTGTAATTAATGCAGATACTTTGTGTATAATTAAATTTGAGTCATCATATGAAGGTCGAATGCATGTCAGTTTACTGGCCTGCTTAGTTTCACTTTCTTTTACATTGTTGGTTACTTCTTGAATCCTATCATCTTCTAAAAACTGCGTTTCTAATAATAATACGAATTTCCAATAAAACGAAACGATTGTTATTTAACAGTTCGTTCGATATGTCATTCGCGATTTTCTTCTTTTAAACTGTTATCATCAAATGTAATATACCTTATGGATGTGAATTGCCACAGAAAAAGCTTATTTACTGTGCCTCCGATTGTAATCAAATTTAAAATTTTCAAGCCGATTATTATTTTTATTTTGTAGAATCATTATTCTACAAAATAAATTTAAAAAAAATTATAGATTTTTTATATCCTTTTTCAATCAGTTTTCCCTTCAGTATACTTTTATTCATTCAGAGCTAGAAATAATATTCAATTGACATTACGTTTTATCATTATTCATAAATTTTATGCTTAACCAGCACAGGTTATAAAAGAAAGTAAGGCATATTCACTGATGCTCTCATTTGGAGTAACAAAGTTAACTTTTTCAAATTATGTTTCGGTTAACACATCCAATCGTAATTTGAAAACTGAGTATGATTTTTCTTCGTACTTACATCGAACTCCTGTATTATTATCTGTTGTTTTTACTTGTTAATTAAATAAGCAAATGTAATCATGAAAGCAACATGTTCGTGGAAGTTATCTTGGGATGGTCTGTATTTATAAACCTTTTTAATAACAGTTCAAAAGAAACGGTTATTCTGCCGTTACGTTTGTTACATTATACATTCTCGCGTATCCTTCCGTAATCTCCTCATGATCTGAAATGTTTCCAAAACTATTCAGTCTCTATCAGCAAAAAGTGTAGCCATACATATATCAATGCGGTTAAAATTTTTACCCAGTTCTATCTTTTACTTAGTACTAATTAATTAACATAACAGATGAAGCCGAAGCTATCTTGTTGTAAAACGTATTTACATACAGTTTTGTACAATTTATTTACAATATATTTCGACCAAAAGAAATTTTCAAAATGCTATATTTTATCATGTGCGTTTCTTTACGGAAAATAATAAAAGGAGTGAAGACTTTAAAGAGCAGTTTAAATCCACCAAAAAATCATTTTAACTCTGCATAATCGGCCCAATGATGACTAGGAAGTGTTGCGTCTTCCATGAACGACTAAGAAGATATCAATTCATAATTTACATCATAAGCTATAGGTATCATCACTGAGGTGAATAAGAAGAGTTACATGTTTTGAGAAATAATAAAAGGAACGAAGATTTTAAAGAGAAGTTTTCACCCACCAAAAAAGCATTTTAATTCTCCATAAACGGCACCGGGATGACTAGGAAGTATTACGTCTTTTCCCCAGGTGACACTACTGTCTCCGCTAAGTTGGCACCTGTTGTCAACATAACTATAGGACCAGCAGTTGAAAGCTGTCTCTGCGTCGCACTGATCCATGCAGTCGGTCACTGAAGCCGCAAACTGAAGGTGGTCTGGTGTCAACAAAGTGACATCCTGCTTAGTTTCATATCGGCAGCTAGCTGGAGCTATAATGTTAAAAAAATATTCAGAAAATTATTAATAAAAATTTCGAGCTCGAGAAAAATACCATTTAAGGTGCGTCTTAACAGAGGCGTCGGATTTAATATGTCCGAAAGAACACTACTTTTAGGAAAGGAAAAATATTTTTACAAGCTAAAAACAATAAATGTTCCGATTAAAAGAATGCCCAGTTTGATTTGACCTGGCAACATTGGAATTTTATCATTGTCAGTTCAATTCGCAGCTTAGTCGACATGGAGTTCTACGCAAAGGAACAGTGAGTTTTGATTGTTAATGCTCCTAATAATAATGGAGAGTGTTTTGCACAGATTGTTTAGAAACTTCGACCAATCTTTGAATGTGAAAGGGCATGTATTGGAAAAATAGTTCGCAGATATGCTAAAGGAATGTAAGGACCAAGTTCGATGGAAGACATTAAATCATCATTTCTCGATCCAGCTGGTTTGTTGAAAACATCGCTATTGTGCGTGGCAGTGTTCCAAAAAATCCAAATTTATAGAGAAATGACCAAAAAAAAAATTAATTAAAGAGGAAACAATGTGTGATTAGCCACCTCGATAGACAGATGCGTAAAAAAGTGATTATGAATTTCATAATTTCATTAACGGCGGTGCTGCAGAGCAAGTCTTAGATGATTATTTTTCATTCTTAATTCGGAACATTTACCTGCTGTAAGTATATTAAAAACATTTGCCGTTTTCCAAAGTATTTCATTGAACATTTTAAATCCAGTGCTTTAGTTGGAATACCCTACAGTTCAAGTAGAATAAATATATAAAAATAAAATAAACTGAAATTTTTAAATAATAGCAGTTTTAAATTCATTTTTTTACCAAGCAATATTTTGTTCGAAAAACAAATATAAATTTTAACCAGATAACACCTTGTTTAAAATATTTATCAAATCATAGTATTATAGTAATAGTGTTAGTCATTTTACAAATAATTCAACATAATAATCAATATGTATCAAATAATTCAAATTTGATACCCTTCATCAATTATATTTATATTTTGAAAAGATTTTGCAGAAACTTTCAGAATAGCTTTAGATTGTACCTATTTTAAAAGGTATTTTAGGGATCGCAAGTTCAGTTTTTATATTACAAACAGAAAGTTCCTAAGTTAAAAAACATTCTACGAAATTTATTGCAAATTACAACTTTTGTTTCTTATAAAAAATGCACATTAATACAAAATACTACTACTTATAATTATTCAAAATGCCGCCCAGAGCGGAAATTGGTCAGTGACTCTGACAGTGCCCACCATTGGAAATAAAATAATCATTCAAAATACCTACTTGTAATAACAGTATACATATAATATTATAAAAAATTTTTTTAGGCAAGTAATTGAATTTACTTACATTTTACTGAAAAAATGATGATGTTGTATATTTAAATGTTCTTTGGAATTCAGTTGATTTCAGAGATTTACAAGATTTGAGGGCATTTCGCATGCTTTAAAATATCATATTAAGAGTTGAAAATATTTTTTCACATTTATGAAATATAAATTACAGACCTAAGAAAATAGTAGAAATACCATATTTCCTCGCGTATTTTCCTCTTTTTTAAGGCAATTTTATCATCTGAAAATCGAAACCAGAAAATAATGAGAGTAATTTAATTTACGAAGAACGGAGTTACAGTAAGAGCAGAACGAATGAAAAGTAGTCATGGATAGACTACGGGTAACTATCACAATATTTCTTCCTTTAAAGAAACCTACATTAGTTAGAACACGTAGCAATATTAACATTACAATATCTGACGGAAATTGAGGCTATCTTTAACAGTATATGAGTGCAACACGTCGCGCTCCAGCTCATTTACCTTCTAATACCCCATGGGCGTGTCACTATGAATAAGTCTTGACAGCAATTACCATGGGACATAGAAGGAATGAAAAAGAAAGGGTAGAGAAAAGATCTGGATTTCGAAAGATTGAACACATCATCTTAATATAAGGTTACAATGAACTGGAACGTAAATAGTAGAAGTAAGGTCAAACAAGATGTTTGTTAAGCTTCTTATATGTGAAAACACCTGCCACATCCGGGTAGTTTAACGAAAAATATTCACAAATTACATTTCAAATAATAAATGTAAGAAGAAATAAAAGGAATGAAACGCTAACACAAAAAATTCATCTATAATTTGAATACACGGAATAAAAAACAAAATTATTCAAGGGAGTACAATTTACCAACAAATCAGCCCTTAGAGGGTAAAAACTATGTACAACAGGAAAAGGGGAAATTTATGATCAAATTTTTAAAATTTTCAGAACCTAGTATTAAACAGGTAGGGAAGGAACAGCGGGATTAAATATAGCATTATTTGGAATAGTAATAAAGTGTAGAACTTACGAGGAGGAGCGCATTGATTTTCCAGATAATTCCTCCCGGATCCTGGCGCTACACGGAAAGCATTCGGTTTCGTCCGGCGGGTCTCTCTGCTCATCCGACAGATATGCTGGATTTCATCATAATCCGCCGACCGACATCTGAATCTCTCCTCCGTAATACACAGTTTCTCGCAGTCTTCTTTAGTGCGTACGTTTCTCGTTTCCTTGTCCACATGACCGTCCAAATAAGCTTCTCGAACCCTATCGAACACCCACAGTCTATCTCGGCAGGCAGAATCGAATGCTTGTTTAGATACTATAAACAAATAAATCAGAAATATACAGATCAGTTTCTAAATTAGAAGCTGCTAGGATCTGTCATATTCTTAATTTTTTTTTCTTTTATTGTTTATCTTTCGTAATTTATACAGAGTACATTCTTAAATTTTTCTTTTCTTTTATTGTTTATCTTTCGTAATTTATGCTGAGTACATCTCTAAACTGAGAGTGATTTAATAATAAACTATTTATTTCTTTAACTGTCAACACACGGTAACTATGTATTAGCCACTATTACTCAGGACATAAATGGAAATCATAGTATGAATAATGCTTTTACGTTAAAAATAAAGAATAATTTAAAAAACGTTTTCATAAATAAGCTTTTATTTAAAATGGCTATGATAGTTAAAGAGACTAAAAGGATAAACATAATTTATCACATTTTTAGTGGGAATAATAGATTAAATAATTTATTTATAGAATTTATCTAAAATTTTATGCCGCGAATGATAAAACGTGGGGCGCACATGATAAATTAAAAAAATTATAGCCTATACATCTGTCAATGCAACTAAATTAATGGAAGAAATTTTAAAATGTAACGTCTCATACATTTGACAACGCAGATTAATTAATAGATCGTTATTTAGTCAGCTTTTATTATTCGCGATATAGAATTGTAGATGACTTCTATAAACAAAATTATTTAATCCATTATTTTCCTTAAATTATATGATAAATTATTTTTATCCTTTCAGTGCATTAATTATCATATCCATTTTATACGAAAGCATATTGTATACAAATTCTTTTTTTAAAGCAGTGTTATATTTTCCGTTTTCTGGTCTCAGTTACGCGTATCAATGAAAAAGCTTATAAAAAGCAAATATCGCCAATTCGTCATCTGCTTCAGACTGCAACACATTTTATAGATTAATGTAGAAAATCGTTCAATGAACATTTATTTTCATCATTCTTATTTTAAATTAGGAAGAAAAGCTTGCCTTAGAATCTGTGAAAATTTGAAAATTTTATATGTGATACATTTTTATCAGTTGAAATTATAATACCATGAGCGACAGATAGCCTAAAAAATCGAACGATTTTCAAAAATACGCCAAGAATTCAGAGACTAAGTTTTAGTTTTTATACAAGTTCCATTGATGAAGATTTTTTCCCGCTGTATTCGATGGTGCAAACAGTAAAATTCTGATATGTTTAGTTTGTTTGTTAAACGAAGACATGTATGAAAAATTGTTTAAGGGCATTCGGGGACTCCCTATACCGACAATGTTAAATTGCCCATTTTCTATGTATCTTTTCTCAAAGTCTGCTATAGATACACATTAATTAAAGTACACCTGTCTGATTATACTGAAATGAGCTTTTGAAGCATTTTAAGTTTTAGAGTAATTTATAGAATACTGTATTAGGCATAGTAAAATTTAGCACTTTTCTCAAAACAAATTATGAAACGTTTTTCTTAGTTTATCACAAGAAGCTCATTTCAGTAAATATTAGGAAATATAATAAATGAGCCATAAAAATTTACATACATGTGAGCATTAGTTCCTGAGGAAAGGTACATCGAGTATAAAAAATCACATTTGGAGGAAAAAGCACTTTTATGTAAAAATTGTCATTTATCAAAGCATTCGATGATAAATTAAAACTAGATTTTTTACAGTTCTAATCTGCATAAAGATGAAAGTGTGATATTTTTAGAAAGCTAAAATTATAGAGAATTTGAAAATGCAAAAATCTTAAATCACCATTTTTTTGAAGATTTTTGGCTATTCCAACACCCTTTAAAGATTAAATAGAAAATATATAAAATGAATTTTGGAAACCTCGCTTCACCAATTTCTATTATCATCGGCCAAAAATGTATGTACAAAACTGGAACTCGATAACTTATCAGGAAGTTGGTTTAAAAATAGAACGTTTTAACTCAATTCCACAGTATGACTAAATTTTAATCGGAAATATTTTGACTTTTCAATCAAATTCTGGAACTGTATGCAATATTAATCACAATATTATTACGCATAAATTATCTTCGTATATAAAATAATATATATGTGTTTCCTATAAGCAAAGTTTGACACATGCACTGTAATGACTCTCTCACTAAGAATTATTTGTGTGAATATTATATTTTAAAATATTGTAGCGTAAAGTGTGTTCTTAAAACATGATATAGATTATCTTATTTTGGAGTAAAGAAAATTACTTTGAGCTTATGGCTTTCCGATTTCTCTTTTTGGTTACTATTTTTTTAATCAAGTAATAGCTTACTGTTTCTTGTAATCAGTAATTTTATGTAATCAAAGTTTGAATGCATTGTAAGCAGTAAATACTAGAACTAAAATGCATTTTAGTTCATGATATTTAGTTCATGATACAGTTTTTAAAATACATTTTCACATAATTAGAGTTACAAAATGCAAAGAATGCTTGTAACGTTGATGCAATAAAATTTCACTTCATTACGAACTATTTTGATTAATAATTATTGAAGTACATTTTGAAACAAAATAAATGAAATTTAGATATTTATTCACAATTTTAGTTAAGTAAATTACTGATAATCAAATTTAATAAAGGGTAAAACATTAGTGTTATAGAACAAATAATTTTTTTAAAGCTTTGAGCTCTTCGTTCTCTTTCTGAATGTGATTCAGAAATATAAAATAAATTATGTTAAAAACGTTAAAATAAAGTTATTCCTTCTTGAATACTTTTATATAATCCTTTCTTAAAAATGTTTTACAACTTATTAGTAAGAAATACAAATAATATATAAACAGTACAACAAAAGTTATGGAAATCACAGAAAAATTAACTACTTATCAATTTTTCTGCTCAAGATATTAATGACTCTCGAATTTTACCTCAATACTATTTAAATCCATGCATTTAACATTTAAAATAAAAAAAATTCTCTTGAAATTTTCAAAACTCAAAATTACCATATAGGATCGAAAATATTTCCTAAAAAAGGAAATTCACGTAAAATAGATAGAAATTTTAGTTTATTCGACGTAAATAATTTTAACAACAACAAAAAGGGTTATTTCATTTAAAAATTACTTCAATGTCTGAATTTCATAAAGATTTAATTAACTTAATAATGAAGATAAATTTTATAAACTCAGTGGCCAGTCTCTTATTTTCATTAAGCTGATGAACAAGTCTTACCTCCTCTAAAGCAGATTTTCTCATAGAAATTGACTGCTTTAGCCACAATTATGTCGTCTCCTCTGCCGACGGAGTTGACGTTATAAGATATACAGGATGATGAGGTATAATTTAAAGAAAAGGATAAACAAGCGGCCTGCTGCTTGCATAAGTTGATGCAGTCCCTTGTAATGGCCTGGCCTGGTTGTTGGAGCATAGATTTGTAGGACACCACGCCACTGAAGCTCATGGAAACCATTTTTTCGAAAGTCTCAATGCCTCCGAAGCAATCTTGAGCTGAAAAAAAGGATAATATTAATGGCATAACATATTCATTAACTATAGTTTCTGACAAAGGGAGAGCGTGACTTGTACCTCATCGATTTTGCCCAAATTCTGCATGATTTTAAAGGCAAACTATAGGTTATATGAATGCGGCAAATTATACGAGGGCTATCTGCTTAGGGATGGCTTTGTGAAAAACTTTCGAAGGGAAATGGCTCGTATTAGCGTTATCTATGGAGAAAACTAACCATTCAGCACACCCATTCCCCATGGCTCGAACCGAGGTCGAACTACTAGCATTCAGCGGTCTTAACCACTCGGTCACTGGTGGAGACTAATTATAAAGGATTTTAATGGGAATGCATATGTAAAACAAGAGTGCGTACTTCTTAAAAGTAAAAAATTAAGGCTAAAATTCTTAGCAACATACTTAAAAGCGTGTTACCCTCAAGTACTTACGCTGATAGTGTTACACTGGTCTTCTAATGCTAAGTCTGCTAATATGAAGACCGAATTTCGCTTCTATTGGTGACTTTTTTACCGGTGTTATTATTCTTAGATTACTTTAAAAGGAAATTTATTCTTTAAGGATACTTTAAATACTTTAAAAATTTTTAAGTAAGAATTTAGTGTAAATGCAGTCTTTCATTTATTTTTTCCTATGTTTACTGTCTTAACAACTCATTCTTTTCAACCCATTTAGCGGAGGAGATCGCCTTCAAATCTTCAGTAAGAGTACACAAGCCTACTGCAAATTTATGGTAAAACGGGGTCATTTGGTGGCAAGAACCACTGATATTAATTCTGGCCAAATTCTGAACCGACCTATGCCTCGTTATATTTTTTTGGTTTAATAGGAACAGTGCTCAGAGTCAGAATTTAATATCAATTTAGATTGTTTTCTACAAGCTTAGTATTCTTTACTTCTACTGTAACGAGATATTTCGCAATGTACGTTTGTAAAATTATGTAAAGTTTATGCTGTAAGGTAATTTGAATATCTGTAATTACGTAGTAACTATTTCCTGACTTACAACACCAACAGTTACTTACAACAAATGTATTCATGTATTGATGTAAACTGATGTATCTCCTAATGCTAGATATACAGAGATGCGAGACAATACCACCTAATCTCTTAATAGAATGTAAAAAGTTTCGCCAGCGGAACTGCGATCATATTTCATACCTTTATTTGTTTAGTTTTTTTATAAAAAATATAAAAAATATATTGTAGTCAAAAAGTTTGGATTCTAAGTTCCTAATAGATGAAGACATCAGTAACTATTAATTATTAAAAACTGAAATACGTTAACTGACTAATATTTATTTTAATTGATTTTTTTAAATAATAACTATAACTGAAAAAATATAGAAGTATCTAATATGTCAGGATTTGTGATTTATAGTGCTATATTCTAGCATGCATTGTACTTTAAAAGGTTTTTAAAACAGTTTTAGTTTTCATGGTCTTTCCCAAAATCTAACAAATTCGCAAAAATTATGCTCAGAAATATCTTTTTCAAAACTTCTAGATACTGATGTTTCAAAATATATATTTTCAGCTCGTTAAGCTGTTGCATTTAAGAACATATTTCTGAATGCTTTTTTTTCCCTCCAAAAAAACAAAATGCCCGTATCTCTAAATCTCTCTTATCATAAAAAATTCCCTGCTCTGACGGAACTCTCTCTTAGAATAAAAAAAAGCATCTTTTTTGACGTTTCCTGATATCCACACCGAAAAGCAATCACACTTTTGGACGCGTGTGATTGAACTGCGGCTTCCGCGTTTTTGCTTCGGTTACAGTTAGTTAACGGGACGAAAACAATAGACCGACAATATTGGAAATAGAAACTGCGGGAGCGGCTTTGTACATGTACTGTAATGAATTTGGATGGCGAAACACGGTTCCTCTACTCGTGCGCTACCTGATGTTGTTGAAGCATTTGGACCATCTTTTTCATGCTTTCAAAGCTCTTTGTTTCAATGTTTCCATCTCTTTTATATGCATTTTAGTACATGAACGCTCATTAAAGAATCTACGTCAATACTGTAAGCTATTTCTATGGCAAATTGTAAAAAAAATTTATAATTATCTACTCCGCATATGTTGAAAACTTTAATTTTTAGATAAAAATATCAGTTGCATCTTATTAACTAACACCGTACGAAAAATTCTTAATTTCATTAATAATATATTTTATGTTATTAAAGAAGCGGTTAAAATAACGATTAATTACACTAATGTAATAAAAATAACAGGCATATCCTAGAACTCATTTGATATGGCCAAGTATTCTTTCTCATTTCACTCACTGGACACCGGTTTGAGAAAGAGAGACAGAAATCGTATCAGATCAGTAACGAGAAATTATACAGAACTTCTCATAATTCTAATGAGCTTAAAGCTTAAATACTTGCTTTTAAACCGTGTGTATCGCAGAAAATACTCCTTGTAACAATGACATTCGGAAAACTACACGATGTAGAAGCAATACGATAACGAAAGTAAACTTTTGGGTAAATAAATTATGGAATAATTTAGAAGAAAAGTAATATCACTAAAATGATGTTTAATTGAAGAGCGTCGCATGTCTTAAATCAGAAGATAAAAGGAATTAAATAAAACAGAGTCAGGAGATGAAATAAAATCTTAAATAGTACATATAACTAGAATCAGATGTAAAAAGTGGGCAGCTTTAAAAATTGTAAGTCCTTAATATAGGCTCCTTTTCCAATTACTTCTTTTAAAGTCGTCTTCGAAGGTTTAATTAAGGGGATGACAAAGGCTTAAAGAAGGGAAATTAATTAAAATGTATTTCTTTGTTAAAGGGCATTATAAATACTATGGCATTCCGCCATTTCAATAGATGTAAGTACGTGAATCTAGAATGTCCATTTAATAGGCGAATTAGAGTTTGAAAATGCAATCTTTTCCTAACAATTTCAAATCTTGGTGTTTCCATAAAATTTTCTGAAACGATATTTTATTGCTTTATTTCGCAATTTCATTCATTTTGAAATTACTGATAATTATTTTTCATGCATGCATTAGTTTGAACGTGTTTTAAATAAACATTTTGAGCTTCTCAAATTTCTTAAAGAAGCACCATCAAGAAGAGTCTATACTTACCATCAGCCATGAAGGAGAGTGTAGCTGAGATTGTGACCATTGTCAAGAGACTAAACCATGGCACATTGGCCATTCCTGAAGAGTCGTTCTGAAAAAATATAAAAACTCTATAAAACAGATTGAAATTTGCAAATAACATAGACATAATTTGTATAAAATATGATAATTTTTAATTGTATTAATAACGAGGAGTTTCTTAATCAAGTAATTAAGTACCTTTTTCATCTTCATCTCCATTACGCGGAAAAATATTTAAAGTTTACGGTATTCTATAATTAAATTCAGAATTTCATACTGAAAAACTGCCATAAAATTCATGTTGTCATATAAATCTAGAAATTGTTTGATGTTTTCATTTAATGCAGCTGTTCCCAACGATATAGGGTCAGTATGGACTCCCTGGCTGTCGATGAGGATTAAGGGGTAGGCAGCCCAATATCCGTCGGCGATTGATTGGCGTAATCAAAATTCCACTGATTCCAAACGAATTATTAATAAAATTGGTAAATAAATGTTTACTGATATAAAGCTGTATCAGGCAATAAGGAAGGAACCATGCAAAATACGTATAAGGAAAAAATACTCTAAAATTAATTAATGCATTTTTTAAATAAATAATATTATTTAAATATATAAATTTTTATGCAATGAGTGCAAGATAAAAAAATGAATTGCAGGAACGCAAAAGAATATAGCCAAAAATTTATGAAGAACTGCCTTTGAAATCTGCTTTTGGTCAAACAACAATTAGATTTTGATTTTGTTTCTGAAAGCATGTTTATATTTGAAAAATGGAAAAACAGATACGAAAAATAATAAAATATACATCTCATAAACCATTTTTTTAAAACGTTTTATTATATTCCTAGACTAACTGCTCTCTTTAAGTTATCTGCGCGCAGTTATTTGTGTTTTTTCCCTTTTTTAATAGCGGGCACTAGCCATTTTTAGGCTTTCGCCACTACTAAGGCCAAAAGTGGTGGTCATTTTATTCTGGGGCCCCTAATAGGCAGCCAGCGTTACATACCGTGGAGGGATCAGACGATTTATATCCACGCATTCTGCGGGATTTGAACCCATGCTCTTCATCGCAGTCGGGTCCCCTAACCACTACTCCGTTCGGGCGGCTCAGTTACTTGTTTTATGATTATGTTGTATGCTATGTATTATAGAGAAAAATTTAAGGGGTCGGTGAAGAAAACCATTTTTTTTTTAAAGTAGTCGATGCGAGAAAAAGATTGGGAATCCTTGCATAGTATGTGCATGACACTTTTTTTGTACAGAGTACATATGTATTCACTTTAATATATATATGTTATTTAATCAGATTTGAAGCCGTTTATTTTATTAAAGATAAATATTTATTATTAAAGTATGGGTGACAGTAAACTTCAATAAATCACGCAGCGGTTGTTTTAATGACATAACTTGTAGTTGTGAATTATAAAGAGATATTGAAGACTACAATATCTTTACTCTGAAATCAATTAATTTAAACTGAATGGGTAATAGCACTTAAACTGAATGTGATGTTTTTATATATGGCATTCCGACTTACTTTTTTATATTATATTTTGACTTGCGTTTTATATTTCAAATTATATTTCATAAATTTTGATAACACACTTTCGATTTTACGTACTAATTTTACTGCATGGAAAACCGAAAGACAGGTTCAATCCAAAATTGGCATTGTAATTAAAATAATCAAAAGTTTATGAGGCATATAATTCTTCTACGAGACAAATAACATGCTATTAAAACTAAGTTTAACTGAAATAATAAAAACTTAAGAAAAATTTTATCTTGAAGCGAATTTTTAATCTTAAAAATAATAATGAAATATTGGTGTATGTGCAAAAAATATACGTATGTCGATACGTATGTATACAATATGTTCTATGCGTATATCACAATTGAACACAAAAAATTGGGGAACAGACACTTAGACAGATTTACTTCTTTTAAATCCACTTAGCGTCATGTCTAATGACTTAACGTCATGTTCTGAATAAATAACGACATGTTTCGTAACTTTCCTATGAATTACTTGCTTTTAAATTAAAACTGGTAATTAAAGGGGAGCTGAGAAAGGGTGATGTTGCTTATGATAAAATTGCAATATGTTGCTTTGAATATGTCTTTCAGAGAGAGGAGACAGCTCACAGGTAATCCCTGCACTGATAACCGTTTTCTTCTGAGTTTGTTTGATCAAGATTTAATATTCAACCTATTTTAAGTACATTTTAAAAAACTGTAAAAGAAATATATCTTACAGAGTCTGTATCGCTATAGGTCAGTTATGTGTCGAAAGTAAATAAAGTAATATGACGCGCAGTTTTTAAGTAGTTTATAAAAATAATAGCAATACAGTTTTGTAAATTTGCAAACATGCAAGTACACCGTTAGCAGTATCAACATAATCGAAAGTAAAGAGGCATTAAATGGTATTATCAATTTAAATAAAACACAGTTAAAAAGGTTTTTATACAATAAGCTTTTATATAAAATGGATGCAAAAATTATAATGAGTAAAATAATTTATCATATAGTTTAATGGAAGTAATAGATTAAACAATTGTTAAATAATTCTGCTTACAAAATTCATATGCAATTTTAATTTATCATATAGCTTAACAGGAGGAATAAATTAAAAATAAAATAAAATAAATTCTGGAAGCTTTCAAATTTTCATTTACAGACACATACACGTTCCGAGAGTATTTTGGCTAACGCTACTCTAGCCTAAAAATAGTTAAAAACAGTATATCTTTAGAATTTCCGGCAGACAGTCTCGAGCGCTGGAGATAAAAATGTTTTATTCCGTACAGTGTTGCTACTGCTCGCTTAAAAATTGTTAAAGCTTAATAAAATATGAAATAGACCATAAAAAAATTCCAGGTTCCAAATTTGGACTTCTAGGTGGCCATGTTCGGGTGGAGGACTATGCTATTAACAAGTTGGTGATTCTAGGCTCCTCTGATTTGTTGCTATTTCACAGTGAGAGAAACATACATACATTCACCCAGAAGTTTCATTATTTAGTTTCTTTAAATATAATACAGAGCGATACAATTTTGTCAACAAGCTGAAAAGTGATTCATCGCATTTAAGTGATTCAATGTAAAATGCCGTTTCGAGACTAATAGCCCTTCTGGGCTAACGCTTCTTTGAGGTAATAATTCTGTTTACAGAATATCTGCAATTTTATAACGTGAAAACAATTTTATATCGTATAATAAAAGCGTGAGGCGACTCATTAGCGAAATTTATTTATTTAATTGCATTGTCAAACGTATAAGCTATTATCTTTTTAAAATTTTTTATTGATTTAATTGCAATGTCAAATGTATTGACTATTACCTTTTTAAATTTATCGCGCAGTTCCTCGCGATAAATTAAAATTTATTATTCGCATTATAAAATTGCAAATTTCTATTTATTATTCGCAATATAAAATTGTAGATTAATTCTGGTAATAGAATTCGTTAATCTGTTATTTTCTTTAATGTAAATGATAACTTATTTTACTCCGTTAGTATATTAATTATCACATCCATTTTAAATAAACGCTGCGTAAAAATCTTTTTTAAAAAAATGATTAACTTATAGTTAATTTATAATTTTAATTAATATTATATTTAAATAAAAAAATGATATTATAGTATTAATAACATAACAGAACAATATAGTTTTGCTAAAACTACAATATTAACAAAAATGTTTAATGCAACGTGATGAAATTTAGGAAAAGAGCTTATCAGTATTAGAGATAAGGATTTATTAACAGAAGTCGTAAATCGCTGCGTTCAGTAACTTAAGTAAAAACTGAGAGTGAATTTCAGTGAAGGTAATAACTTATTCGGAAACTTCTCACAAAATGGAGTACTTAAGCTACCTGAAGATAATTAACGGCACGTATTTTAAACGTCGGCTAACAAGATGCAAAAGCCGGAATAACTTTGGCTGAGCTGGCGATAGTACGTAACTGTAAGGCTAGGCTACAAGAAGTCCTAACTCTGAGACATTCAAACACTCGTCTTAAGCATTCCCCAAGAAATGCATTTTAATGAGGACTACGGAAAGAAGAAGTTTAAGTAAAGTTTAGATAATAATGACTGGCATGTTAACATAAAAGTACTACAAGATGTTATTTAAATTTCCCACAATGTAGGTGTTAGGAACGGACAATTGTAACTGCTTGTTTCGCTTCTAGCCAAAAAGTCTGCATCTTGGTTTTTAAAATAAAAAACCCATAATAACAAAACTACTTTACTTTAGACTTTAAAAATGTTTTCAGGAAAAGTTTTATTCTATGATTAAAAAAAATAAGGTTACAGTTACAAACATTTTTGTTTTTATAGTTATATAATTTTGTTAGGAAAAAATATTCTTACCGATGAATATTCACTGCTGTTATAGCTGCGAAAATCTTGTAAGGAAGCCGTTTTGTATTCTCCAGTGTCTGCTCTCTACCGGAATCATTGCATCCTCCTGTCGGCATAAAAGAAAAGAGGAAGTAAGGTATACAGTCAACTTTTAAACTAGTGCAAAATTAAATATAAAGTAGTGTGCTTTCTTAAAACTTGTTTCTTGCATTTGTTTCTTGTATAGTAAATGCCTCGTAACTGACACCCATTTACCTGGCAGTATCAGAGTAACGGCACTTTTGAAATAAGAAATTTAACCCGAAATTCCGAATTAATTAACCCGAAAACCCGAAATATGTAATTTATTGTAAAAAGAATATGTAATGGGCTAGCTATCTAAATACTTAAAATTTGAAAACATCCGCATTATGCTTCTTCCGCCTAACGTAAAAAGTCTTATGAAACTAATGAATCATCAAAAATGTAAAGATGAGCCACCGATCCGTTTTATTCATAGACGTCTGAATATTAAAGGTAGTTTCTACTTTCGGTAAAATTCACTCTGATAAACGCTATATTTGCTTTGGATCTTGCTTGTAAAAATGTAAACAGCATTATTTTAAGTCGTTATTGGTGTAAATTAGGATTAATGATCATATTTGTAGATGTCGAATCAAGTGACAAAAATTATCTTGGTTTTAAAACAAGTCTGGCGCCCGTATTCGAAATCTTGGATTTAGTTACATATTCGAAGACGATTAGTGTTAGAACAGAGACAAAGCAGCTTAAATGAATTCTTGAAAATTCTGTTCCCTTCGCATTCTCTCAAGATGATAGGATATGAACTGGAAAAAGAGAAAACTGATGAAAAGGAAGGGAAGAATGAATATATTCCAAAGCAAGAAAATTATGTGAGTAGAAACCCGCAATCCTTCCAGGAGGAAGTTTTACAAGAATTTTTTTAAATTACAACAGCAATATCCTAAGTAGGCAGACATTGGGAGCTATATGAACTAAGACATTCTTAACATTTATGTGATAATAAATATAATAATTTTAAAATCTGCTAAAATTTGTTTTCCTGAAATATAAAATCGCGTTATGTATCTTAATTTTAAATTGTCTGCAATTTTAGATATTATTTATTTAATGTCACCGATAAATCAAAAACAACAACTGGGGTACTCCAAATGCTGCAGTTTTTATAGATGGTGTCACAAAACATAAACAGATAAGTTCTAGAAATAAATATTCAGTTATCGGTAAAAAATGCTTTTATCCGGAATCGGCACAATCGCTTTACTTCCTTTTAAAAGGGATTCTACTGTAATAAACCTGCTGGCCATTCAAAATGTAACATCATGAAGGAAGTATCCAAACAGCATGAAACTCGCATCATAAAAATCTTTTAGGAATGATTATACTAGGTCAGTGATCTTCAAATTTTGTCGACTCGCGAAATCCGTAGAAATCTAAGTTTTTTGGGGCGAACCGCATCCTACACTTACAAAAGTATACTTAAAATAATATTTAAATCTGATCAATATGTTCTAGGTACTTTATGCGAGGACAATTAAAGAAAAATGTATTTCTTATCAAAACATTTTAACACAAAATTAACGTAATTTACTCATTAATAACATTAACTCGTGTTTCAAGTGTCACACCTACCCTAGTTAGTGACTGGGGTGTGCTTATATGTTTTTACTTAAACTGTCGAACCCTGGGTCTCTTGATGTTATTTGCAGTCGCGTTTCCTATTCCACGCATATTTTTCTCTTTATTTTGTTTTTGTTGCCACATACGTTGGCAAGAGTTTTCACT